TTTAGTGTTGATTTAACAAACATCGACATTACTCAAATCACCAGCTATGATTCAATGATTAATCAAGTAAGTGAATATTCATTCAATCATAAAAAATATCCATTAAATCTCTCGATACATAGATGAACTTATATCTTGGCTTTTTAACGGACGATATTCGTATTCAATCGATTTCGTTAGTCAATAGTTTCATTTCAAGTACAAATGCACACGAAACAGTACAATACACAGGGTTAGTTTATTGAATTTAGTGTAAGCTCTATTGTTCATGTTTTTTAGCGCAAATTTATCATGTGATATTGTTATTGATAAAACAATTCTGAAGAGTAATAAATGTGGCATACTAACAATTACAATTAATATCAAAAAGTTTCCCAGTACAATATGCGGAACTAATGATTGCCAAACAAAATATATAACCGATATCAAAACCATGATTCGATCACGCTATATTTCTGTAATAATGCTCATCCTGCAAACGGCTAATGGTGATATTCGTTTAGTTTCAGCTCAATTTTGCTACTTTGTCAATTCGCTCACTAGTAAGTGTTCTTTTTTATTGAATAGTACATTCCATTTAAAGTAACCATTTTATATTAAACAAATTAATTTCTCCTCATAAAAGAGATGCAATAGTTCAGTCTATTCATTTCTGAACAATAATATTATTGAATTTAATGAAAATCTTTTAATCAATAGTATTTCGAATTGGCATGTTTTAATACATACTAACATTGATGGCTATCGTTGTTATGAGAACTGATAAGAGTCAGTATAGGCGTAATTGATTCTGATAGCAACTCGTAGTAGTATCATATAGGTTCATGCAACATTATCTTGTTAGAATGTAGGTAACAGTGAGGTTTAAGAAAATATTATCATTTACATTACACCTAAACGCTCAATTCAATGCACCAGAATGAATACTTTGAATTTTAGCTACCACAACAACTAGTACAACAACTAAGACCACAACTAGGACAACAACTAGCACAACAACTCCCACAACCACGACAACAACCGGTGAGTGTAATTTTTACTTTATATTCCAGATTCATATTTAGAATAGCAAAACAATTCTATTCTTTTCCACTATAGAGACGCTTTCTGTGAAATATAGAAGAAGTTAACATAAAAATGATACTGAGATATTTTACTGAAATAGTGTAAATCTTTCTACTTTATAACTTCGATTGAAAAAGAGAGGGTTGTGCTTTTTAATCTTATCGCTCACTTCTTTGATACTTATGTTGTATCCACGTTGATTTACCTTATATGATAAACTAAGTGATTTTATTTTAATCAATGAGAGTACGGTGTGAGGATGTTAAGATAGAATATTCTTGAAAGAATGAATTTGTTTCTATATTTTAGTAACATACAATCAAGCAAACAAATGTCTTTGCACAATTAGTAACAATCGTATGTTGAATGTTTTTCTAAATATTTTCTTTTATTAGTGTTATTATTCTATTCGTAGTAACTGCCAACAATAACCCAACTAGTGGAACCCAGAATTTTCTCACTACATTTACATATGGTACTGACCAGTATTCTAACAAAACTTCTGCTGATTTTGGCTTCACATCTGGACACACACAAGTGTTTTCAGATTGTCCGGGTGATGGCTATTTTGCTATCGCTAATGTAGTTCCTGGTTGTTTTTTTTGGATTCCTGGAGGCTTCGATCATACAGCTAATGAAACCGGTGGATACATGTATGTATTGAATGCATTACTCTATCCTGGATTATATTTTAACAAAACGATCAATAACTTAAGCATTGGCAAAGTGTATGAATTTTCGACGTATGCAGCTAATCTAAACCAGCCTGGTTGGTCTCCATCGAACATAATATTTCAAGTTCGAACTGCCACATCAGATAATACATTGATCGCAGAAGGAAACTCAGGCAATATACCTGACTCTGCCAATTTCGCTTGGAATAAGTATGGAATATCATTTGTAGCACCAAGCACTTCGGTCATGTTATTAATGATATCAAATGGTACTAGCAGTGCCGGAAACGATGTCGCCCTCGATGACATAGGCTTATGCAGATGCTAAATACCAGTTTCTTATTTCTGTCCAACAGTATAAAACATTAACAATAAAAATTATAAAATTAATCTGGAGTGTGATCTTAGTTTTCTCATTCTATTTCTTTTACTCTTTGCTTTAACCTTGTTATAAAGAAAATAACTATTTAAATTTATTTAATCCAGAGAAGAAAACCAAACAGAAATAAATAAATAATATTTTTAAATTCAAATATAATGTCTTTCGAATATTTTTTTTTCAAGTGAATGTAAGAAACATTCACATACCACTAGTTCACTTGTTTTGCATAAGTTACCTTCAACAAGAAACTGTCTATTTTGGGTGTAATATACAGTACTATCTATTATCTGCTAGAGAGAAATTAGATTATGCCATGTGACTCAATAATTAAAAATTGTTGCATTTTACTAATATATAGTTTAGCTAAGCATAATTACCTGATCACACAAAGAGTAAAAAATAATGCGTAAAAATGCGCATTTTTTTAAATTTATCTTTCTTCAAATTTTGATAGTTTTTTTTCTGTTGTTTCGTTTCCTGAGATTCAACAATAACATGAAAGTATAGAATTAAATTATATTATTTTTATTTAAATTTGATATAACAACTAATTTAATCGTAACTATAAACTTTAAGTTTATCAATGCATCTCTATAATTAAATTAATTGTTGGACATATATTAAAGGTAACATTGAAGGTGTGATACAAATTTCATTGTATATAATCAATTTCATTAGATAATTAGTGAGAACGTTTATTAATGAAACATACACATCAAGTATTAAAATAGTTTTACTAAATAGTTTTTTTAGGTTCAACATTAAATTATGTTTTGAGATTATTTTTCATATTCTTGAAATAAAGATATTATAGACAGTAGTATAAGAACACATTTTATTGATGAGAGAAATCGAACATCATAAATAGTGGATGATAACTTCAATGATACTGTGTAAATCTGTATTCTTCATGTCTCTCCAATTTTTAGATACTGAAAAATTAAAATACTTGAAACTGACATGAAAACAAAAAATAGTATATAAACTTAAAATTTAATAGTAATACTAATTTAGAATATAAAAAAGATCTGCTTCAAACTCAAGTAGACTTCATACTGATCTGCGATATATTCATATAAAGTACTGTGAAACAGAATCACATAATATATTCTCTTTTCTTTTTCTCTAGTTTATTATGCAACTTAAATTCTTTTAGTCTTCATGACAAGTTTTGTATTCTCTTGCACACAACAAAAAAATTGAGGCGCGTGGACAAAAAATGTCGTATAGTGTTTTTTTATTCTATACAAACTAAACAAACAGATCAACTATAAAATCAATGTGAATCTTTCACTATTTGACGTACTAAATACACACGAATACAAATGAATGCAATACCATATATTTTAAATATTTAATTAAATAGAGTGGGTGTCGGTATAATGAAAATAAGTTATATAGTTTCATCACTTCACATATACTTATACTCTCAAAATATATTCACAGTTCCAAGGAATTTGTAACAAGTTATCAGATCCCATTGATGATATCTTATAGATATATCGAATCGTACTGTTGTATTTAAATCCTTCTCAAAAGCATTCTTTTTATATAGTCCAATGATATGAATGATTCTGTTACAGATATCACTCTTATTATATATGATCCTACGATTCAGTTAATAAAAATCTTTGTCTTTTAATTCATATATATTTTATTTAGACGTCCGCGTTAGTATAATGTATGTATTCAAACAGAAAACACTCAAAATCATTATTTTAGGAAGGAATAGAGAAAAATATTAGTTGGGATCAAAAAAAAAGGTTAGTTTCACACCTTGATAAAGAGCATGATTATGAAATAAAATAAAATAATGTCAAATATTTGAGACACGTGTAAATGTTTTTTTAGGTCCAAGAATATTTTTCATTCGTTGTTGATGTCTTGTTCTTGCAGCGATATTTGATGGTTTGTGCATATTCGAGAATTTTGTAAAAGCAGCATACATTACCAGAGTATGTATAGGCATAAAACCAATCATCATAATCAATGACATAATTGCAACTGGTTGTTGACATGCATTTTCCTAATATACACATATATGTATTTATGTCAAAAATATCAATCATATTTCAGTAGAAACTTACAAAATCCTTTGGATAAAAAACAGGAATAGTTGATTCAGTTGTTGCACCTGTTGTAGTTGGTCCTGCTGTTGTTGGACCTAGAATACAAATTCATTAATTATAGAGTAATTTATTAGAAAGAGATATTTTATAGAAAATGTTCTGATTCCATATTGAAAAATAAAAGGTTTTTCTTACCACCGGTAGTTGGAGGTGTGGTAGTGACAGCTGTTGTAGTCGTAGAAGCATTTGTAGTAGTCACTACTATTCCACTTGTTGTACACTGTGAAAAAGTGTAACATTAAGAATAAAAACTGACAATTCAAATAAACTTACTGCAGTATTGATTGAAGTAGTAGTTGTTCCTAAGCTTGTAACTGTGTGAGTTGTTGGTGGAGTAGTAGTAGTTGTGGTTGTACTCGAATGTGCTGGATTCCAGATATCGAATCGCCAAAATGTTTTATCAGTAATGGCTAATGATTCAGCATCTTTACAATTACATCGATTATGACAAAATATATAATCTTTTACTTTAACGGAAAAAAAATATAAAAAACTTACGACAAAAGACACTTCCACTAGCAAACCCATCATCCATTGTTACATAATAGGATTGGCCAGGTGTCCATGTTATATCTGTAACAATTACAATAGTATATCCAGTATAAATAACATTTGGAGAATATCCAGCATCATAACATAGAACAGTTGCATTTGTAGTGTCCAAGTGAAAACAGATGTTTGTTCCATTACGAGTAGGACGACCAACTGCACTTGTTGCTGTGTAATTAAATTAGACGATGGAGAATATCGAATTGATTTAAGAATAAAGATAAACTATATGTCGGGAAAATGCCTACCTTGTATAGAAAACAACGACTGGTTTGCAAAAACAGTACCTATTGGACTTGCTGATCCTTGTACCAATATGGGATGAATTAAATTCGGTGAGTCATAGCCAACTAGATATGTGATACACCATGGAGCTGATTGAAGAGTACTATTGTCAACTGCTCCAGCACAAAAACCTTGAGGACCTAATTGGTTTTCTACAGGTGTCCATGTCAATGTCATTATCCATAAACCTATGATATTATATTTGAAATTCAAAAGTTTGCATATTCTAACAAACTGCTATCCACTACTTACCAGGACTTGGATTACTAATAACACTATGTGTCATTCCAATAGGTGAACTAGTGACAAAATTAACAATTGTTTGACCAGGACAGTATGTTTGTACCTCTATAGTTTCATTGAGCTGTACACCTTAAACATAGATTTTAGATATTAGAAAAGAAAATTCATCCATAGCACTTACCAACTGGAACTCCAATGCAAGCTAAAGAGAATTAAATAGACAAAAGATATTATTATTAAATGTTTGAGTTTGATTTAGAATAGAATATACATTCATACCTCTATTTGGACGAACACCAATAATTGAAGGAAGAGTTCCACATGCACCAACAGGAATAATGTATGCATAGAATAAAAATTGTATTGGAACCGAACTCATTGGCTCCAAAGAGCTATTGGTATAATAATCTTCGATTTGCAATGCACAGGCATAATATATATTAGCCTGAGGTAGAATGAATTGCAACGTACAATTGGATGCGAAGAGTAAGGTGCCATTGGGCATTGCACTACAGACACCTTCACATTCATTAACGTGGTCGTAATTATATGTTTGATTCGAATTGGCCCAACGGCATAGCAAATAATCACTATAATCATTATCTGACATTTGCACAATATGAAGTATTGGTACATTTCTTGGGTAAAGTATACATGGTAATGTAGTTGTAACAGGACTGGAGTTGATAAAACCATCAGGTCTCGGAACTAGATTCAGTCGATTGACAATTGACCAACCACCACTACCTTTAAAGAGTGCAGACAACCATGCACTTGAGTTATAGCCAATTGTAATGTCTGTTGTCAAATGTAGTGTCAGATTAGTGTAGAGTTCACCACCCCATGATTCAATGATCGTTGAATTATCACAATCTGAAGTTATCATATTGGCTGAAATTGATGGAGGAAATGTAGGAGAAGTTGCGCAGTTTGCTAAACAGATCAAAGCAGCACCTGCTACGACAATAGGTCTTTGGCTAGCGACATCTGCTTCCCTGCATAAAGGTGCAGGAAAACTGCTCCATAATCTGTACCAAAAATATCTTTGATGTAAAAGAATTTGTGTAGTGGTACCCTGTACTGTATTGTTTAACGGACGCCTAAGAAAAAGAAGAACGTAGAAAGTAAAATATGCAAGATTGACTATAAGAAGAAGCATTATTTGAGTATATTTACCAGGTAATGATACCACCACGATAATGGCTTCCATCAATTAAAATACATAATGAAGCCAACAATGCCAAGGTAAGGCGTAAACCCCGCTCCATTTTGCTAATGTTCGACTGTTGTTTCTTCTTTGTATAATGAAATATACGATCGCACAACCAACTGAAATTGAATGCTTGTGTTTATAAAATTATTAGAGAATCAACTTTCTTTCTTCTTTTATATGTGTATATTTGTTATAAGAAGTTTCGAGAATGTATTACAATGCCAGATTATGAAATGTTTAAGCTCGAGGAACAAAAGTAAAGAAAAAGTGCGATGCCATGACTTCTCAACAATAGTGGGGAAAAGATTAAACAATAGAGAATGTTGTACTATTCTTTATTTCATCAGCTCCTGCTGTCTGGTTTCCCACGGAATAAAGAGACACAAAATTCTAATGGTAAACAATGTGCAAAATAATTCTGAAATCTATTGTTGTTGTATTGTTTTGATGTTGTCAAGAGACATAGGATAGTGTGGCCGTCGTTTTATATAACTTTCTGACACCCATATCAATGTAGAGACGTGCAAAACATGAACTATTCGCACGATTATATCAAAAGAAAATACTTTATTGAGCTTTCAAACAGAGGAATAGAGACAAAAAAAGAAGTTAAACTTAGATTTTTTCGAGTTTACCATATTACCTTGAAAGTTTAAAAAACAACATCTAAGATTTGGCAGAAAGTGAGGTAACTTTTCAAATGTTTCGGACTAGATTTTGTAAATTATTGACTCAAAAGTCTTCTTGTTTCTTTGATGGTGATAAGTCTCTCGAAAAGCAATATGCTATATATATAGATTGTTCTCTTAATTATTTTATTAATTTAAAAAGAAGCAACTGTGTTTGTTGCATTTAATTGAAATTATGCATCATCTTTAAGTGTGTGAATTGAAAATTGATCAAGACTGAGACTAAATGCTTTTTTCATATTTTAATCTAAAGAAACTCTTCAAGATGTATAAACTATCATGATGTTGCTATACATTCACAACGTCGAAAAAAAGCGTCGCAATCATAATATTGAATAAAGAAAGACATAAGAAACTTTTCTACGAAATGCGACAACAACAAGAATAATCGGTGAAAAACCCATAAAAAAAGCGTCGCAATCGTAATGTTGAATAAAGAAAGACATAAAAAACTTTTCTAAGAATAGCGACAACAACAAAAATAATCGGTGAAAAACCCATAAAAAAGCGCCGCAATCATAATGTTGAATGAAGAAAAACATAAGAAACTTTTCTACGAAAAGCGACAGCAACACAAATAATCGGTGAAAAACCCACAAATAAATGCAAAAAGTAACGTTCGTCGTCTCGATTCACTTCATCCTCCACTGTGGAAGGCAGAAGTCTTTTTTCTGCATACGCCAATGTGCGAAGAATTTTGCACACCCACCCTATTTTACCCACACTTTCCTTATTTCACACACCTCCGCCCTGTTCTACCAACTGCCACCATAGTTCACCCTACCCACCCAACTCATTTTCACTCACTCCCACGCTATTTCAATTATCGACACCCTATTCCATCCACTGAGCTCATTTTTACCCACACCAACCCTATTACACCCACCCAGCACATTTTCACCCACACCCACCCTATTTCAAATTTCTGTCTATTTGGGATATATTAAGTATGGTAAGATATATCACAGGTATACAGCTAAATTCGAGTTTCAGATAAATATATTTGAATTGAAAAATATTTTGTGCATCATTTATAACATACATACCATGTTTCTGGTTCAATATTTGTTGTTAAATGGATATATTATCAACTGATTTGAATCTGAATAAAAGAGAAATAAAAAAGTTTTTTTTTCTTTTTCTTTTTATTTAATAAGAACTTACATTTTCAACATGTATTCTGTTATTGTGCATAGTTGATGATTTTATCAAATACCTTGAAAAATTCCTCGTTGATTTCAAATTAAAATCTACAAAAATAAACTAGAAAATAAATGTAAAACATTGCTGCATATTTTGTTTTGTTTCTACCGATATTATTTACGTTAGTTCGATCCTGACAGATACACAAATATAAAACCATATCAAAACTACTTCCACTTTCAGGAAAAATATTTCAAAACTAAAACGTTTGTTTTTCTTTCAAGAGGTAAAAGTCAACGATATTACACGTTTTCTTCTACTTTTCACACATCTGATCTCCATAAATCTGTCCTTGTGAGATAGAAATCTTTCATCTTTATTGTCCAGACTCTCTTCGTCCACGAATCTTTATCTTGGATACATCGCTCTTACTTTACTTTTACAATAATTACGTTACCATTTGGAATGTATTGTTATTTCTTTGAAGTGAAGTTATAAAGATATTCATAAAAAAAAACAGTATATTACGAATGAAGTAATTACGGACAAAATTTATATATTCGAGTTGATATAGTTTATTTAGTTGAAAAATATTGAGCAAGACCTTCTAGATTTTTCTATTTGCTGTTTTTGAAAATTATTCATTCAAGCAACTATTGATAAGAAGAGAATGGCGTGACAGGATATCAATGAAAAAACAGTAACGTTTTATCTATAAATTTATTTCTAACACATGTCGATTTATGTATTTCCTTTTGTTTTCAAAACTCATTAAAATAATACAAGATTATACACACTTTCATTTCACAGGATTAATTTATTGTTATCACTAAAAAAAACATACTAACGAATGTCTGTGTGTGGATGCATGTAGCTATGACTGTGAGCATCTAACTACACTCACACATACCCTGAAGAGAGAATAGTTCACGAGTTGGTTTCGAAAAGATTATCAAAACTGTTGATCATCAAATATTTAGTCAGACAAACTCGCGCACCGAACTGCAGTCTAATATCAATGGTATAAAATATTCAAGAAATAGAGTTTTCATAAATAATTTCTATATTTTCTTTTCTAATTGTTTACACTTAATTTTCCAATTCGATTTCGGATTCTATTCATAACATAGGATGGTTTTTATTTTATTTATTACAACAAAAAATGATTGCCATAAAGGTCACCATAAAAAATACAGTTCGAACGATTAAATGGAGTTTGTTGTTTTTCTAACCATTCCATTGTTAATGGTCTTGATCTTGGTAACTGTTTCTTGATCGACGATTGAAAATTCCCCGGAATAAATACAAATAAGTAACTTAATTTCAACATTCGTGATAAAATATGTTCGATTGTATGTGTTTTAATTTGAACACCTAATGATAAACATTCACATTTATTTCCAAAGATCGATACCATTCGTTCAATTTCATATTCATTGAAACATTCTGATGTATTTCCATAGGATTGAAATTTTAAAACACGAATCTTTTGTGATAAATGTTTACATATATGAAAATCATTCCAATCATCTGTTAATTTAATCAATTGACTCTTTCTTAAACTTAACGAATACAACCGAGATGCATTATCTAATAAAAGTCGAAATTGTTCGATTGAAATATAACCATAACTATCAATATGTAACTGTTGTAAATTAGTTAATGTATGTAACCAATGTATCGCTTCAAATTGTGTATCAATAACTAAATTGTTTATTTTCGTTCGATTAAAATCGTTATTTATTGGAAGATAATTTCCATAGATTAATGTTTCAACATTTCGATAGATATTAACATGATCATCGATAGGTAATGTTGACATCGTTTTTTTCAATGAATTTTTATAAGTTGTTAATGTTTTCATTGGATATGGTAATGTATAAAACATTGTTTGTTTCGAATAAAGTCGACCTCTATCAGAAGCGCAGAGATGACAATTAACAAACCATTTCTTTTCTTTAAGAAAGAAGGGTGTTGCATATGAATTCATGAGTTGTTTCAAATCTCGTAATGATAATGGACGAAATAGAAAATAGAATCGAAATATTCTTAATAATGGACATGATGAATGAATAAGTTGTTCCCATCGATTACCAAACATTGGTACTTGTCCTGATTGCAGTTGATATATTTCAAGATTTGTTAATTGAGATAAAGAAATAAGAGAATCATATATTAACGAATGTTCAACAGGAGTCATTAGAACAAATTTAAGATGTTTTATTGTTAATGGCCAGAATAAATGATCTTTGTTTTCACAAAAATGATTGATTGTATATTCAATAGTTTCAATTTGAGAAAAATTCTAAATAGAACAAGATTAATGAATAAAAAAGAAAGATTTGTGTCATACTTGAATCCAATCGATTGATAAACATGAACTAAAAACAAGTTTTTTAAGTTTTGGTAAATCAAATGATTGAATTTCTTTTGCACATAATGATTCAATTGATAAATAAATTAAATTTGTTAATGATGTAAGTATAGAAAAGAATAACGTTTGAGTTTTATCTTTCAATTCTCCAACAGTTAAGAATTGTAATTGAGAAAAATTATTCGTAAATATGTAATTTTCAATAATATGATTCATCCAATATGGTTTTTCATCACTATTAGATATTCGTAATGATTTCCATTGATGTGTATTATGAATTTGAAATATAAAATCACATTTTGATTTATTAACGGAATTTAAATCAAATATTTCACAACATTGTGAAATTAATGATTGAAAACGATGGTTTAAATTTGAAAATGCAATAATTATATCAATTGAAGTTAAATAGGAACAAATTTCCATAAATAATTCATTGGGAAAAGTTTCCAGTATTGTTAAATAATTCGTAATTTCTTCGCCAGTATTCATTTTTAACAAAAAAATGATGATTAGGTTGTTTTTCTGTCAAACACGTGTGTTATTATATACATTGAGTAATTTCATCATTACATGCAAGAACATGATTTCGTGAAGATAATTTTTTTCATTCTTCGATACTTGACAACAACTATATACAATCGAATAAAGTTATTTGACAATGATACTTCCAATAAATTCTCTAATTGTCTAAAACATTACTTTATCATTTCTTAATGTTATATTCTATGCATCTTCTATTCTTCTAGTATAATCATTTTTCTGTTATATTAGTATCGTGGTACTTGTCGGACAATGATTGGAATTAAGGATGAATTCATCATATCATATGGAATCATTATCAAATTCAATTGAATTTTTTCATCTTTAAGATACATTCATTAATTTATTATGAAAATATTTAGTATATCAATATGAAGAACTGGATGCCATGTTTCAATATAAAATATTAATAAAAAAATAATCAATTTAATTCTGTTAAACGAGCAAATACTTGCTGTTTCAGTTCATGAACATATGATTAATGAAATAGTGGCAGATATTGAACATTCATTGATTCGGTAAGAATAATATTAAATATTTATCAAAAAAGAAAGTATATATTTACATCTTTTGAGGTTGTGTTATATATTACTATTCTCTCACACCCACATTCCTTAAACAATACTCGCACTTACTAATGTACAAATCAAAAATTCAATTTCATATATTTATTGAGTTTTAATAAAATGAAGATTTTCTTTTTATCACGTGGTTTTTGAAGTTGTTCTTTAGCTTTATTAATTTTCTGCTTTTTAAAAATTATTTTGCCTGTTCTTTTTCTTTGTTTATACCCCAAGTCTTTCTTTTAATGAAGTGACGATGCCGATGCGAGAGTAACTAGAGACAAAAAACACTCACAACTGTTTGTGTTTAGAAGAACTTGTTGTGATTTTTATTTCGTGAATAATTTAAAAAATAGAAGCAAAATGAAAAGGATACCTTGAAGAAAAAGAAAAAAAAATCATTTTAGAATATAGAGGTTAGTCAAAACTAGAGCACACATTAGTCATTTTTTAAATATGTCAATAGGTATTGATTATAATTTAAGCTGGTTTTGCAATATAAAATGGACCAGATTCAATACCGCACATATTTACACCACTTTGGATTCGAAAATAGCCAGCTTCACCCCAACTAGTACCCCAACTATTTCTTACTTTCCAGTATGGAATGTTTGTTGTCGCATCTACTCCATAGCCAACGATAACGACTGCATGATTTGTCGAAGCAAGTGATGTTGGACATCCACTAGGCTGCCATATTCCGCTTTTATAACCTCCAAACCTACTTAAGATTTGTTGGTACGATGCCGATGAATTACCAGCAAAAACCGAAACCCATAACGGTCCATAATTAACTAACGCTTGTTGCATGGCAGCAGCATTGTTTGGTGTAACAGTACTGTAAAGAAGTGATCCATATTTCACTTCAGGACCAGTAGATTTAAATACACATGTATTTTTTACAGCCTTGTAAGGATAATATGATTCAGTGTTAACTTGCCAAAGATTACTCAGTATATAGCTGAATGTATTAGTAAAGTAACCTCCGTTGCAACCATTATCTTTTGTTGAACAATCTACCATCTGTTGTTCACTTAAACTTTGACTGGCCTTCAATTGAACAGCATATTGAAATTCAAGTAAAGAAATAAATGCGAATGTATAGCAAGATCCACAATTACCTTGATCTTTAATTGGCTGAACCTTAAATAAAGAAACATATTTATTCGTATGATCAAGAAAAATGAATACTAACCACGGGAACATTAGTTCCTGAAGCTACTCTTGTTGTGTAATCATATGATGTTGGAAGACTTGTTTTACCAGTTGCTATCTTTCCGTCCCATGTCGTGAAACGTTCACCTGCTTTGGCATTTGTTGTTAAAATATTACCTTGAGGTACTCGAACACCATTCAGTTTCGTCAGTTCATCTTGTGTCCAATCTGAATGATTATTTAATCCGAGAGTATATGCTTTTTCACCTTGTCGATGATGATCAACTAAAGTATTCAATGACGCACTAAATGAATCTAACCGAAGCTTCTCTTCATTTGTTGTTTGAGTTTTTCGATTAAATTCTTTTTTGTATAAATTAAATAGATTTTGAATTGCATCACTGTTGGATCCACCAGAACTTTTGCCTATAGTCGATGCAATAAAAGACTCCAAGGCTTTATCAAGATCAGTACTTGATACTTGTACACCAACCAAAAGAATAAAACATAAAACGAATTTTGTTGTTCTCATTGTTTTTTCAGTAATACGAATGTATTATTCTGTTCGTTGCAACAGTCTTTTATACACAATTTGTTAGTTGACCCTCGATAACTAAGTGTTTTCGTCTGTGACATTTCACTGTAAACATTTCCATGGAACCATTTAACAAAAAAATGTCAATACAGTTTATAAACAGCGCAATACTTTTACTTCCTAGATAAAACTATGCTATTCAACGTCAACAAAAAAACAAAATCCTTTCATCGAAATTTCTTAAGTGAAAAAAAAACATTTTTAAAAGTAATCATTAATAGTCAAAACATGTCATAGCAACTGCCATTAAGTTTCAGTAAACGTTTGTATGAGAGGCGTAAAAGAATGACGAATTCAATTGAAAAGTATTCACACTTATTTAAAAGTATTATCGAGCCATACAGAGCATGCTTTTACCTGCGTTGATGTTGTTGCAGTCAACGTTACATACATTTTCACATCTACATAAGCAGGCGTCAAATCCAAATTAGGGTCTTACATCGGGATTCTTTTGCGACTAAGAGTTTTTGAAATAGAATATTGAGTTTGGCTGTCGGATTCTTTCAGAGATGTCCAACGAATAAAAAATGAAATTCTCTATCACATCGTTATATTTTTGCGTCTCACTCATTGTGCAGCGCACAATCAATATCAACAGGCTTTCTCCAATCGCATTGATATTTCTTTCGTGCTGCACAGTGAGGGAGATCCAAAAATACAACGATGTGATAGAGAACTTCATTTTTTATACGTTGAACATCTCCGAGAGAATCTAGCGTGAGTGTGTGGGTGTCATCCTTTAATATGCTCACACCCACGCCATAGCCGCCTGCGTTTCTATTCTTCAGAACGGAGCGCGAAAGCGGCATTAGTACGTGAAAGAAACAAACATAAGAATGTTATAACAAAAGAGTGACTGTGTCTGAGTGCCCGTCTGCTATTTTGATTCGCTCAAAGATAAAAATGCATTTTTCGCGGAAAAAAAAGAATAAATACAACAGTTGGAAAGATACGCATTGTATTTAAAGTGATCCGGTATGTTTTTTTATTGACGTCGAAACAAATCAATATTTTTCACTTGAATAGTTAGGAGAAAGAAGTGGCTTTGTTTTTTTAAACTAATTTATCACTAATAACTCGTTAAATAAATAAGAAATCAATATCAAATGATTAAAATTGATTAAAGATATGTATAAACAAAATAATACATTGCGAGAGAGACATTTGAGGGTAGGTCTAGGTAGATAATGAGAAAAGATACCCAGACTCAGACCCACCCACCCACATTCACACCCACTAGATAATCAAACAGAAGCGAGCGTACCCATTAGTTTACTATTTGACAATGATAAAAAAAGATATATTGAATTTGTATGATTAACAAACTACAAACGATTATATATTTCAAACTATAACTATCGTACTTTGATATTTGGCATTTATTTTGTGCTACAAATCGTCTTTTTCATGATTATTTATTCTTTATTTTTATTCCACGGCTGGATATCAACTAAATATCGACATGTATTAGGTAATGAACCGATATAATATCAATCATTCTATGAATTAATTTATATTTTTCTGCGAAATATTCATATTCACTAACATCAAGACTATCAACAACATCGTTATTAATCACCATGAATGAAATCTCATATGCATTCTATTGTTTAGTCGAAGCATTATTTCAAAACTACATTATGAGATTATTTGCTCGTGATTATATTGAAATACCATTTTATACATGAACAAATAATCTATTTAGCGTAAGCATTGCAGTATATAACGATTTCTTTTTTGTATAGTGCGCTTTTGTTAATGATTCTTAGTATAATGAAAATCTCTTATTTCATTGATAATGTGAAGAATGTTATAGGAGTGCAAATATTTGTGGATATTTTCGTCGATAAATACAGAATAAAATTATTCATGAATAGTGAAAAATATTCGTCACCAGATGTCGCTGAAAAATATTTTGTACGAATTGGAACTTGTTCTAATTTCTGTACAGTTCAATAGGACTTTATATAAATATTATTTGAAACAATCCGACAAATTCTAAGAAAGCACAACAATCATTGTAGAGGCATACTAAGCCAAAACATGAGAGGTTGCCATCGTATTTTTTAACTATGATATATTCTGGGAAGTATGTATTTCGATTACGTCTACGTGACATATGAGTTTGGCATTGCATTTATCTTTTATTTGCACATATGACTAATAAATACCGTCAACGATAGATAAGTCATACTTCCGCCATCCTTGAAAATTTGCGACTACTTGGAAATTTCCAAGTCAATGCGTAACTTTTATCTATAGCATTTATTCGATCATACTCATTATTTTAGATAAAATCCTTACATAAGAAAGATATGGAAATATCACCTACTGTTAACACTGAAGAAAATCAATCAACTCGTCGTCCAATAATTCATGTTTTTACTGGTTTTAGAGCCTTAGCGTGTCTATGGATATTTATGTTGCATAGTGTCTCCACGAAAGAACTAGAAAATCTTTTTTTATTACAATTGATGCCACTTGGTGGATCAGCAGGTGTTGTATTATTTTTCTGTTTGAGTGGTTTTGTCATGGTTTGGACTTATGGTGATTGTAAATTTAAATCAGCCAAATGTTATTGGTCTTTCATCGGAAGACGAGCAGCTCGTTTGTTTCCACTGTATTATTTTTCACTATTTTTATCTATCTATGATATCCGATATGTATGGAGAAAAGATGAACCATGTACTAAAACAAATGTGATATTTATCATGTTGACTCTATTCACCATACAAACATGGGTTCCTTATAATTTTGGTAGAAATTTATGGAACGAACCAATATGGAGTGTACAAACAGAATGGTTTTTCTATCTTGTGTTTCCATTTCTTCTTCGTCTGATTCGATATTTCTTAAATACAAGTCAAATTAGTCTTCTGACGAATAGAAATGACAAGAAAAAGGCATTGAAACGATTATATTTGATGTGGTTTTTAGTTTTATGTATGTCTGTTATACCTGTACCATTTCAATTCAGACCACTCGAGATAGGTGAACATAAACGCACCACAGATCCTTATGATTTAACAGTAATACTGTACATATCACCTTTAACAAGAATTCCTGAATTTCTTCTTGGAATGCTTACAGGTATTATTTTCATATTAAAATCATCGCCAGATACACATATTAATCAGTCGGATACGAATGTAAGCTTAAATTTAGTATCAAGCGATGATCAACAACCAGACACGAAATTCTCGTCATCTTTATGTTCAAATTATAATCGTTATTGTTTCATATTGGATATCTATTTCCTCATCGGAATATTATTTTTTATTTGCTCATCACCTATATTCTACTTTTATGAATTTGTCGAATATCATGCTATACTACGTATGGGATCATTAATGTCCTTCATGATGTGTACCTATCTATATTTGTCTGCCAGATATCCTTCATCATTAACATCGAGATTATTAACAAGAGCATTGTTAATCAAAATGGGTGAAATATCCTATGCATTCTATTGTCTAAGTGAAACATTACCTAAAGTGTATTCACTTTTAGTAGGCATTATGATTGAAAAGAGTATAATTATGAAATTATTTGCTGGTATTGGTATAGCTGTATTTGCTCGTCGTTTTATTGAAATGCCATTTTACACATGGGTAAACAAGAAATTACTGAGATGTCAGTGCAGATAAAACTTTTTTTTCCAAATGAAGCATTTTATTACCCATGGCTAACTTTTTCTGTATTTATAAACAAGAAAAGATCTTTATTCTCATTTATATTTTCGCTGTAATTTAATCATTTTTATCGGGATATTTTTGAAAGTGAGTGTATGGGTATCTCTCCTTTTAGTTAACACTCATATCATCAGGATGGCTCAAATTTATTTTCTGTTTTCTCATATTATTACTGCATGGAATTTATTTTTTCAGGTATTATATTATTATATTATCTCCATGAGAGACATAAATTTCAAACTTTTTACAAAACTTACCATGTGCATATATGTCAATGCTTTTTAAGCGTTTTCTTTTCTCTATTAAAATAAATTTTCTATGTGTCATTTTGTGTTTACAACAGAATGAATAAAAAGAACAGACATAACACAATAACATGATGTTATTGCACAACATACATATATAGTGCTTGAAGTTGTGCAATACGCTATAGTGAGTCATTATTTTTCATTGCCAACGATATAAAAGAAACATGTACGATTACTTTATTGAAAATCGATTGAAGTAATAGTAATCGTATTTTAGTTTTTGTTGTCAGATACGATCTTGCTTATACGTAATTGTAAGTAAATAAAATTTTGTTACTCTATATCAGGGCTCCGCGTGGGATGGGATGGAACAGGCAAGTTTCAAGATTGGCCCATCCCATAGGACGAAATTTTTTTGGAACATCCCATCCGATGGGATAAAAGTTTTTTTTGTAAAACTCTCGCTTTATTCAGAAATGAATATTTTGACTATGTAGATGTCATTCTTGGTCATTTCAGTAAAATATTTGTCCCATGGAACGACTTTTCACATCCCATCCTATCCCACACGAAGTCCTGCTCTATATAATATTTTCTTTTACAAATTGAAATAGAACTAAAGATTACTTTTAATTTCTAGTGAAAAAAACGTATAATTATGGCAGAAAGTAATGATATAACTATAAGAAATGCTCGTGGCTATATTGGTGCATTTGGTTCTCGTATTGATAAATTAGCTAATGAAACTTCTGTGGCTGCTGGTATTACTATAGTACCAACTTCACCTTATCATATAACTTTGATAACTAAAGATGAATTACGTCAATTGACAACGGATTTATCAGATAAAATCGATACTTTATATGAAAACGGAACAAAAATTGATACAAAAAATATTTTTTCACTTGGTCTTGGTGGTGATCCAAAAGGTGTTTGCTGGGTTGTAATTATATGGAATGCTGGAAATATTTTTCGAAAAAAATATGGTTTATCTACAAAACAATTCCATATAACATTAAGTAATACTGATGATCATTCAACTGATAAAAGTCTTTATTCATTACGTGAAACATTCTTAACTGAAAATCTTGATTTAAATACACTTGATCATCTTGTTTTATCATATAATCTATCTGATCAATATGATCAAGTATTTATCTATGCACGAGAAATGTGTAATCGTTTTCCTGATTCAGAAAAAAGTTGGCTTCGTTTAGCTGATATTGCACGACGAAATGATCAATATAAATTAGCTATGTTAGCTTATGCACGAACAATACAGCTTCTTAATGGACAAGGCAATGAAAAAGTTCAAGAATATTGCTCAAAAAAAATCTTTAGTTGTGCTTCAATATATACAGAATGGGGATGTCTGTTTGGTGAAAATGAATTAGATCAAATTCCTGAAGAATTAAAAAGATATCTATTAACACCGTGGTCACAAGTAATTCGACAACGTTTCGTTAATATTTATTCAGATGAACAACCACAATTTAATCAAAATCCACGTGAACATCTTATTATGCCGTTTACTGATCCAAGAGGAAGACATCAAAATTTAGGTAAATATTTATAATCTTTTTCATCAGAGATGAGTACACGTATTATATAAGAGAAATATATAAGATCGATTGTTTTCATTTTCGATTTCAACTTCGATCTAAGATTAAAGTAATTCTATGTGTGTTTAGATTTAGACATGTTTTCACTTCCACGTTATTTTCGTTGGATTGTACCATTTTTTCTATCAATCATGTCTACACCACGTCGTGAAGGTGATATTGATGCTCTTGCATCTGATCATATTGGTATTCGGCATATTATTACATTAACAGAAGAAGAACCTTTACCAGAAGAATGGTTTTTTAATAAAACTATATCACATACACATCTTCCTATTGAAAATTATCGAGCACCAACAATTGAACAAGTTGATTTATTCTTTCGATTAATTAATGATTCAACAAAAACACCATTATTAGTTCATTGTGGTGGTGGAAAAGGTCGAGCAGGTACTATGCTAGCTTGTTATTTAGCTGTTTATGGTTTTCAATCACCATCTGCTCAAGAATGGACACAACCATTTATGTCAGCCGGTGAAGCAATTGATAAATTAAGACAACTAAGACCTGGAAGTATTGAAACAGAAGAACAAGAAAGATTTATTCATACATTTGTTAGTACTGTATGGAAAAGACAATCTCCATTACCACCATTACCAGCTGAACCCGAAGGAATACCACTTGAAATTGAAGGACAATTAGATGGAAATATTGATTTAGTTATGCTTTGTGGTTTACCTGGCTCAGGAAAATCTTATATAGCACAAGAAATGTTAGTACGTGATGATCGTTGGACAGTTGTTTCTCAAGATGAAGCAAGATCACGTGATACATGTGAACGTGAAATAGGTCGACCAGGAAAATATTCTAAAGCAATTTTAGATCGTTGTAATCCAGATCGAGAAGATCGAAAACAATGGCTTGCACTTGCACAATGGGCACGAAAACCTATTTGTGTTTATTTTGATTATGATTCAGAATTATGTATATCTCGTGCACAACAACGTTCAGATCATCCAACACTTATACCAGGTCAACGTGTACGAAACGCAATTCAAAGTATGCAAAGACAAATGGAAAGACCACAATTTGATGAAGGATTTGTTGCTATATGTATTATACGATCATTTTATGCAGTTAACCAACTTATTAAACGATTAACACCAGTCAATATTTTGAAATTTTTACGTACAGGACATTTAATGAATTTAGGTGCTGCTACTGCCGATGATTTTGTAGTATCATTTCGGCAAACAACAGAAGCACCATATGTTGTTATTACAGAAAAAGTTGATGGTGCTAATATGGGTTTTTCATTATCAGCTGATCGAGAATTAACCGTACAAAATCGTTCACATTACGTAACATCAACAACACATGCACAATTTCGTCCACTTTATACATGGATTGAAACACATCGTGAAGGTCTTTATAGTGTATTAGATCGAGATAATTCATTTCCTGAACGATATATTCTCTATGGTGAATGGGTAGTAGCACAACATTCAATTCCTTATACACGATTACCTGATCGATTTCTTGCATTTGATTTATATGATCGTCGAACACAAACATGGGCTGATCGTATTACACTTGAACGATTACTTGAAGGAACAAATATATCTTTAGTACATATTATGTATCAAGGACCAAGACCAACTGATAATGTTTTAAAGGATATGGTTCATCGCCCATCTCAATTCTATGATGGACCAGTCGAAGGTATATATGTAAAAGAAGAACAAAATGGACAAGTTATCAATCGTGGTAAAATCGTACGAAGTGATTTTACAGCTGGAATAACTGAACATTGGGATAAAGCACCAATGAGAAAGAACGGATTTGTAATGGATAATGATGATGTTGAATAAATTTTTACTTCATTTTTTAATAAATATATTTCGATTTCTACGAATTCTTAAATTTATCTTTTTAAAAAGAATTAAAAGCATCTAAACGGAGAATACTTATTGCATATTTTTTAGCTATCTGAGTCTCATATGAAAATAGGTCATGTTGGAATATGTTTAATGACTCAATCATAAAAACTTACTAAATCGTCGAAAAAGATGTGCATAGATATTTTACTCGGAATTACGAGGACACAATAATATCAGTTAGAGAATTTTTTCTGGTTCAGGTTCATTTTTGTGATAAAATTATCAACATTCTTTCTTCATTCAGACTTTTGATATATTGTCTACATCTAAAAACTTTGCTATATGAAAATATATATCATCATATTTATTATTTTAGAAATACCAATGTACATCTACTTTTATTTTTAATAATTAATAAATAATACATCTTTTATTCTCATGTAACATCATAGAACACTGAGAACAAACAATAAAATATACAGACGTGCACATATATAAATATAAACATGCTAGTATACACTACTGTCTCTTTCTCTTTGTCATTCTACTTTTGATAAATGTTGTAAAATAAATGAACTAACATCTTTCATTTCCTAAAATTTAACATAAGATGAAATGTATATATAATCAAAATTTTATACTCGATCACATGATGCATGTCCCATATTTTTATATTCTCTAAATGCATATTGTTTAAAACCCATTGATTTAATTCTTTGTTCAGTAAGTCGAGCCCATTTTAATTGAACTAACGGATCTTCATCACCTATGTAATATATAAAAATAATTGATAAATTCATATCGTTTAATTTTTATTTACCATGACATTGAAGAATAGGTAAATTAATCTTCTTATCACCAGACACCAGAGCCTAGTCATAAAAATTAAATTTTCATATTGATTTTAAAAAAATTAAAATTCACTTGAGGAAATGTTGTTGATAAAGGTAACCATGTTGAAAGAGCTATAACACCACCAAGTGTATATGAAGATGTTAATGCTAATACAGAAAAACAGGGAGATAAAAAAAACAAGATACAAATAATTTAATAGACATACCTGCATGAAGTGCAATTGCACCACCCCTAATAAATAAATATACAAGGAAATCTTACATGGATTATTAATTTAAAGCTTACATAGAAAAACCGCCGATTATCTAAAACAGACTGGTATGAAATATAATGTAAAATAGAATAGTTACACTTACAATACATTCAGGTGAGATTCCATTTTGAATTTCTTCTTCAATAAGATTATTTACTTGAATAAATAAAAATTATCAGATAAAAGATTATTATAAAAGAGATAAAACTTACAAAGCATTGATGATGTTTCAATACCTTCTTGATCTTCTTTAACATCTTGTTCAAGACCAAGAATATCAAACCCTATTTATATAATAATCATTCTTATATGTAATTAAAACCTTGTTTTTTAACATTATATTCACTTACAACTAGTCATAGGCATTCCCATATTTAATGTAACCTTTCGAACGGGACTACAAAAAAATAATCAATAAAAATACAACTAAAAAATCTATTTATTATTTACGCTGTTGGAAAAATAAATTTTACATAAGGCATAGATTTTATAATACGACACGTTTTAAATGCATCATACCAACTTCCACTAAAAGAATATTTATTTCACATTTTATAAAATGAAATATATATATAATCATTTGTCATACCCAACATCACCAAGACCATGTAAGAAAATAATCTAAATAGATGATTATATATTTTATTTGATTAAAATGTAAAATCAATTATTTACAGTAGCTGTATGTTTATCACAGGCAGGAATTATTGTAGATTCAATCATATTTTTCGATAAATTATTTTCGTCTTCTGATTGTAAAGACGTTCGAGATGAATTTAAGCAATGATTAGCTAACCATGTTGTCGAACATGTATTTCCCATTCAATTGAAATAAACAACTAAAATATATATTTTTATAATTCTCGCTTTTCTTTTTCGTTTGAAAAATAAATAAGACATGGAAAAATGTTTCGAATCAAATTTAATAAATCAAATAAAAAAAATACACAAAGTAAATAATAAAATGTCAATTAATCTTGTTTTGGTAAAGATTGTTCAATAAAAACAAGTATATCTTTCATTTCCTAAAATAGAAAAAAATGTTTATCTCGATTAACTGTTTATCAGTTATTAACGATGATAAGTAAATAAATATTCGACGAAAGTAAAGAGTATATATAAGTACAAAAATAGGTAATAAATATGATCTTCCAGACTTCTATATTTAATTAACTATAAAAAAACTTCTCTGTTACTTATTTTAGCACTGAATAGATTTAGATGAGCATAAATATCAAATGAATAATATTCGGTTATTTTCTCTTTCTTCACATGAATAACTCCATAGATGAATAGAAAAAAAGTCAAATCACCCGACTAATGCTTGATTGATGGAAAATTATTTACTCATTTATATGATCTCTAATCTTCTTTCTCCGGAAGATAAATAATATTTTTCAAATCTATCATTCAGTTGTTTTGAATTGAAAGGATCAAAGTTCATAATAATGACTATTAATAAAAGAAGAAATGACTTACTTGGTTCCAGTTTGTATGATCCATACCATCATATTCTTTGAAAATATAACGTTTAAAACCCATTCCTTTAAAACTTTCTTCACTTAATCGTGCCCAATTTATATGTATTATCGTATCTTTATTACCTATTTAGAATAATTAAAAGCTATCATATCATATCATATTTATTGTATTTAACACACCATGACAATGCAATATTGGTAAATTCATTTTTTTATCACCGGCTACGAGTGCCTATAAGCAAAGAAATTACATTTAAGTATTTTTTACATAATAAAACTAACTTTAGGAAAAGTACCCAATAGAGGAAGCCATGTTGAAAGAGCTAAAACACCTCCAAGTGTATGCGGAGATGTCAGTGCTTATAAATAAAGTAATTAATAAACATTAAAAAGGATTCAATGACGTACGTCATACCTGTATGAAGTGCTACAGCACCACCCCTAAAAGTCACGCAAAAGTCATGAGAAAAAGAGGGAAAAGCCATCGTTAATTCTCACATAGAAAAGCCACCAATAATCTACATCAAAAAAATAATTAGTTGTATAAAGAGCTAATTTTTACTTACTATACGTTCAGGTGAAATTCCATTCTTAATTTCTTCTTCAACATAACTATTTACTGAAAGTAACAAAATAAAAGAAGTTCAACTTATTATTAATTCGGAACAGAAAAGACTTACAAAGTTGTGATGCTTTTTCAATACTTTCTTGATCTTCTTTTGCATTTTGATCAAAACCATAAACATCAAACCCTATTTAAATCATTCGCTCATTCAAATAAATAACTATTAATTAATTACTTACAACTAGCCATTGATTCTCCATTATTTTTCGATATTTTCATAATCGAACTAATAATAAATTGCAAAATTATTCTATCTCAATAATTAATTTGATATATATTTTGTTTACGCTGTTGGAAAAATAAATTTAACATATGGAATTGATTTAGGTATATCAAATGCATTAAATTCATCTAACCATGTTTTACTAAAATTAACCAATATAAACATATAATTAAACTCTTGTGTTTTATCTACCCAACATCATCTAATCCATGTAAAAAAATAAGCTAAATAAAAAAAAGAATAAATATTATGTTATCTATTGAGGAAAATCAATTGTTTACAGTAGCTGTATGTTTATCACTTGCAGGAATTATTGCAGGTTCTATCATATTTTTCTTTTCTGATTGTATTAATATATTCTAAATGAATTTAAACAAATAGGTAATTATCATATGATTATTTATGCATCACGCGCATTTCAAAATATGAAAATAATAGAGCATAAAAATAAGAAATGAACAGATGAATGTGTGACAGAAAGAAGGAAATATATATATTTTATAAAAAGTATTAATTAATCTTGTTTTTAGAAAATACCGTTCGTACTTCACATATTTCATTTCCCACGATAGTCATTGAAAAAAAAAGTATAAATATTTTATTTTTAACAAATAATATTTGATATGAATGCGTATGTATTCATGTTTAAATAATAATTAATATTACTTCTCTCGTACTGTTCTAATGACTGAACATAATCAAGAATATTTATTCATAAAACATGATATTCTTTCTTTTATATATAGATAGAAAAATAGGGTTTACCAAAACAGCACTTTATTCTTATTGCATCTTATTAATATATTCTAGTTTAATTGAGTTTTGCATCTTATTTACATGAGAATATATCGATCTAAAAAGAAATCAATTATTTCTCATAAGAATATGGAAAAATATATAGTGTTATTATTTAAATAATAATTGATCTTACGAATTATGTCTATCTATATTTGTATTCAATGAGAGTATAGAACTGAAAGTCTTAATTTTACAAAGACATAAACTCAAAAGAATAGAGTATCTACTTAACCATAGAATGTATGTACGTTGATGTGATATTCTTTAGAAATATATATGATGTAAAATCCATTACTTTGATGACTTTTCTTAATTCAATTTTACTTTATACATCTGAGCTATAAGATCTCTTTTTATCTTACTGTATCTTGCATCTAATACAGTATGACAGTATAATATTGATAAAATGCCTATTTTTATCACCGGCTATAAGCGTCCATGAACAAGAAAATGTAATTAAATTCTCTTGGAAGTGCGAAATTGATTGAGAGAAAGATGGCAAATAATACATTCTTAAATGCATGAGAGAATATTAATACTATCAGAAAAAAGCAACTAATAAATAAGAATTGATAGAATAATAAATGTATTACTTATATGTCACACTTATAACATTGTTGTACATACATTAGAAGAAAAAGAAGATAGTGAATACTGAAAACGATCTTAGAAAATTTGAATATCATAAACTTGTGTTAATATTCATAATTACTCGTATAATGCTATATATACTTCTAAAACTCTATACCCTTTTCAACTAAAGAGTTAATTATAGATGTCAAAATACCTGGTTTTTTAATAGAATTTTTCTGTTAACCTTGTTTTATACTACATTTCATGCTATATGATTAGTATCTTTTGAATATAAAAAAATCATTTATAATAGCTTTGTATTAAATTTACTCACGCTTAATCGTTGGTATTTCCTTTTTTCTAATGATTAATATATTGAACTGAATTGACTTCAAAAGATAACCTATATTTCATAAAAAAAGAAAACGTTCATATCTGTGTAAATGTGTTTTATCTCAGAATGACTAGATCTCGATGACTCGTCAGAAAAGAACCAAATTGAAAAGAAAACATCAAGAGATTTTTCAATAGATGTCCTTTGTAATCGAATCTTCTAATTTTGCAAATCATTCTTAATCTCTTTTATCATCGTAATGATTTGCTTCAAATCCGATAGTACTAATTTCGTATATTGATCCTTCACATAATTAAAAACACATTAGCTGTAAAGTTTTATGAGAATCTAATTTGCTTAATTCAAGTTTCACAAAAGGGAATACAAAGTTCAGAAAAAATATAACCGTCGTGCATATTCTAAATTTTTTTATTTCAAGATGTATTCTAATCTCCGACGGATATGCAGTCATGCAACTAGAAATACTCTCTAATTTGTTTCTAAAAAACGTTTTCCTGTCATTGAATAAATACAAAGATTCACAAGTCTCGAACAAATCAACATTCTAGTATCCAGTAACAGATGAAACGATGTTTAAGGAAATATATATACATTATGTTACTACTTCATGAGGTAATGGTACCAGTATTCAAAGATGAAATAGGATAATGTTATTTTATTTTTGAATATATACAAATATGGTTTATAGATAACTTATAGAACATGTACGAGTAATCCACAATTGAAAAAATTGTTATTTATTTGAAAAATAAATTTCGTTCAATTTAATGTATCTATTCTGCAAAATTTTAAACCGATCAAGTCTATCGAATTCCTGAATAATTCATTTGTTTGAATTAAATCGCCAAGTTTCACAATAACCAACGCCCTCCTGTAAGCTTGTCTTCTATTTGGAGGAACTATATATATATAATATGAATCAATGGCGAAAGATGAGTTTTCATCAACGTATACGTGTATGGTAACTTATCTCAAAATTCTATTTATTCATTCATTTTTTCAAATGGACTCTCTTTGCGAACAAATAGATAAATTAACAATAAATTATCTTGAAGAATTTGGTCAGTTAATTTCGTGTAAACAAATACTTGAAGATACAATAAGACAAGGATATTTTAATATTTCTCATGCACGTGTTATAATGGGTGTTAATAATCTATCATATTTGCAATATTCTGAAAAAGATCCAATGCTTGCATCAACAAAAATATCTATTTCATCATCACCATTTCAAATTGAAAAACAAACTGATAAAGAACATTGTAATGATACATTAAAATGGTTTGGTTTATTAACTCCAAATATATTAAAACAAGGTCAAAAATCATTTCAACAAACTATTGATTTAGCATTAGATGCTTGTAGAAGACAAGAAAATATTTTGTATTTAAAAAGTCAGATTGAACAATTGTTAAAAGAAAAAAAATCTTATTTAACGAAAGAAAATTTAATTGATAATAATAATAAAACTGACGAATAGATTTTGTTTTAGATGAGTGAACCGAAACGAATACAAGTTATTCGACCACATCAAAATATAAATGAGTTTATTTATCAAACGGATACTAATCCACAATCTCCTTCATATAATCAAATCTTATTATATCAACAAGATTATCATCAACTTGGATGGAAACGTTTAAATCGTGTTCAATCATTGCCATTGAAAGATAATTGGCCAATAGTTGCAGGAAATGCTATTGCAACATTTTCCAGTGGATTTTTAGGTTAGTTCAAATGAATTTTTTTTGTATTATAAGTTGTAGATACTAATAAAGAATACGAGATAAAACGTTATTAACATTTTCTTATATCATCGCTTTCGTTTATGATACAAATGTATTGATTTCTTTTCATCTAGTCCTCGGATGATAACGACTTATAGAATGGACAGTAACGAATAAAAAAGAATTAATGACGCGCATTACATGAAGAGAAATAGTTCATGTGAAATGAACAACATCTGTCATTGAGATTTATCATTATAACGATATTGTTCATAATCATTGATTTTTATATATCAATTTATAATAGAATATTAAGAAACTATTTCGGACGAATTAAATCCGACATATGAAAAATATTTTTTGTTCATAAGACCTTCTTTTTCAAGTGTAATGATTTAATCAATTTCATTTCATATGCATTTGAATTATCTGTCATTTTCTTTCAATATCTTAACATTTAAACCCGAAATCGATTTAATATTCTATTTGCATTTTATATGTGACATTCACCAATATGTAAGTTTGCACATTGAGATATATCTATTATATAATATATACAGATAAAGAAAAAAGAAAATTTGATTAAAAGAACAGATCACGATAAGGGTAAAGAAAAGAAAATTATATATGATTATGATAAATAAATAATGTATAAAATTTTCTTATTATTTATTTCAATTATTTAATTATAACAAAATTTCTTTTTATTTATATCTAGGAGGATTAATAACACATCGTATGGCACGTAATTTATCACTTAATATAACTGCAAGTTCACGACCAGCAACTGGTGCTTGTTTTCTTGTTGTTACTGTTGCGCATTTATCAGCTTATTATTATACTGTACTTCAACCGATGTTTTCTGGTGATCCAAGATTATGTACAACATGTCTGGAAATACGTTCATTTGCACTTGGAACTTTTTTACCTATAACAATGGGAGCAACTACAGCAGTTTTACTTAATCTTTCATCATGTCTTTTAAATAAAACTTTACATTTACCACAATTTAATATTCGAGCATATCCTGAATGGAGACAATTTTTTCGTCAACATGCTTTTAAAGGAATGGCACATCGTCATTTTTTTGCTTATCCATTAATAAATGGATTTTTAGCATCAATGGTATTTCTTGGACAACATTACTATTGGAAAAATTATCTTCAACAACAATTAGAAACACTTAGTGAACAATCATCATCATCATCAAGTAAAGAACCTAAAAAACGTGTAAGACCATTTGGAGTTGTACAAGATTTTTTTGCTAAATTGTTTAGCAGTAAAGTAAGATGAAGAAAGAAAAATTCTTTCATTCAGTATGATATCATTTTTGTTTTGTTGAAGATAGATCTTTTAAGTTTTGTTAGAAAATACATAGTTTGTGTATTATTTTTTCTAGATAAAATGCCCGAGAAAAAAACAGTAACCGTGCAAACAGGCACAAGCACGTTGACCTTACTGTTGGTAGCTATTGCTGGAGGCATTGTAGCTGTTTCCCTTCAACCATTAATACTTCTAGCATACTCACATTTTGGTATGCAAATTATACCAACATCTTACTCACAATCACCAAATACAAGATCATTCGAACAGGTATCTACATCACTACCTTTAACAACAACAGTTGAGCCAGCTATAACTACAATGGAGCAAGAGATGATTACTTCTACAACTACTGCTTCTTCTCCTCCTCCTTCTACTACTACTGCTACTGCTACTACTACTGTCACTACTACTACTACTACTGCCAAATCAATAGTCGTAAAAAATGATCCAACTGTTGATGAAGACCCGATATATCTTAAAGATGAGTCACTAACTATAAAAGTTCCTGAAACGACAACAGCCAAACCGATTGTTACTGAGAAACCCAAAGAATCGAAATCAACTGATAAAAAAAAAGTTGACAAATCCGAAAAAACATCACAATCAGTTAAATTAGAAAAAGTGCCTCAATCACCAGAAATAATTGATGTAACTGGACGGAATAAAGAAATTCCAGATGAAGTTAAAAATTTCAAATCAACCAGAATAAGTATGTTTACTTATATTATAAGATTGAATGAGCAAAATAAAAAACGAAACATTATTTCTCTCATTCATTTTTCACTTTATCAGATATGATAAAAACAAAAAAATTATGGATACCTATTCCAAAATCTAATGGTGGTCATCGTCGTGTACCACCTGTTTCTATTCGTGCTGGCAAAGAGCATGATAGTAGTATCAAGTAAAAGAAAGCAAAAAATCATTTTAAATTTCATATCAATGCTGCTTCGCTCATAATTATTTCATATACTTCTATTACAATTGTTTATTTAATCAAACTATGATTTATTTAGACATTGGTTATTTGAAGAATTTCTTTCACATGATGAATGTTCAAATTTAATTAAAGTACATAAAGAACATGTGAAAAAAATGAGAGAAATCGATCCAATTATATGTTTTGATAGTATTCAAACACTACGTAAACATTTAACAGATTTACAACCAAATACAACAGTTCATGTTACACCTAATGATTTTACTAAAGGTTTGACAATTCCTGTAATTCTCATGAGAATTATTATTACTATTTATATGATTTTCTAGGAACAACTTGTGTTAATGCAACATTTTCATCTACGCTTAAACAATGGGGTTTAAAATGGTCTTATTCAACAGCATTTTATCTTGGTGAAAGTCCGTTTTCTACATTATTATCAAAACGTATTGAAGAAGGTACTGAATTACAATCAACTCATGGTGGAAAATTTCAAATAACATCAACAGACAAGGGCGTTGGTAAGTCTATTTTGATGTTTGTTTTTAATATAATTTTCTTGTTTAGGTTATAAAGCACATCGTGATTGTACGTTAGATGGTTTGAAACAAGATCGTTATGCGACATTTTTAGCTTATTTAAACACTGTTATGGAAGGTGGTGAAACAGAATTTCAAGGTAAAAATATTATTTAAATAAAACAACAAGCAACTAATTCTTATGTTTAAAGATTTAGAAATAAAAATCAAACCAAAAGAAGGTCGTGTTATCGTATGGAATAATATGAATGAAAATGGTGAATGTGAAGAGAAAAGTATTCATTCAGCGAATATTGTTGGAGATGAAGAAGGAAAATTTGTTCTTCAACGATGGTATTATTATGAAAATTTCTATTCGCTTGGTAAACGTCCACCAGAACCTGATATACCAGAACGAAAACCAGGTCAAGCACAAGTATCATGCGATGAATATGATATGGGAAGTTGCCGAGCTTATGGTAATGAGAATTAATAAAAATGAATGATGTTTTTTTATATCATATTTTTAGATGAATGGAATTATAATCATTTACTAAAATATCGTCATGTCAATCATCATCTTGTCTAACAAACAATAATCATTTTTGTTTTGTTATAATCTTTTTTTCTTTCCTCGTTTGATTTAAGTAAAAAAATAAAATATGTTCTTTCATAAATCAAATAATTATAATGAATACTATAACCTTCAATTGATCCTGTTGATTGGGACTTATTAGTATGTGTGCATATTACCGAACGAGAGAGGAAAAAAAACGATCATAAGTGTCTACGTGATGAACTAAAGATAGTTTATTAACATATTCTCACTTATGTGTATCTTAATAAACTAAATCATTATGTTGTAAGATCATGTAAACAAAGAAGAGAAAAATTTATTGATTTTTTTTATTTATGACATGATCAATACCGCTTATATATATTTCGCGTGTTCTCTCTCTCTCTCTCACTATCAATTAATGTACTATTCTGCCAAATACAGTAACAATCGGGATCGAAAAACGCCTACTATCCCACACCGATACATGATATTTACGTTATGTTAACGTCTATTACTCGAGAATTAAACGTTGTCACCGTTTTTTCTTCTCTATGTTTCGTTCTTTCATAGGAATACGTACAGAATATATTTAAATGTAAAAAAAGACGATAATAAGAGAAAGAGGAAAAAAAAAGAGTCGCGTTTATTAGAGAGACGTAATGTTTGCCTTCTCTCTCTCTATATATCTTTCTCTTCATCGTTGTCGATGAATAAGCTATAAGTAGTAGAGAAAAAAAAGAATAACAATCTATCAACTTTTTTTCTATATGTATATCCTCTATTTCCCTATCTTTTTTAATTGATAATGACTTTATGTATATCGCTTAGTTGAACGACGATTATCAATTTCTTATTTCATATAATAATTCGTACATTTTGTTTTACTTCCGCATTAATACAAAATAACGATGAAACAATCGTTACTATTTATTTCAATCTTAATTATCTCTATATGTGCACGATTAGGTGAGTATAATACACAAAATTTAAAAAACCTCTTCATACTTTAACCATGACCTCGGCAATGAACATTTACTACTTATCAATTATCTATTAACATAACTTATCTTGTTACACGAGAAAAAAAGCCAGATCAATGACATAAGTACTTTTTTTTTCTTCTCTAGGCTATTCCGATGATCTTAATCTTCGAAATCTATTTTCAAAAGCAGCAAAAACTTCACAAGATCAAAATATTTTAACACAACTTGAACAAAGTTTACCAAAATTTCTCGATTTAGATAGTAAGTAACTAATAAAAGAAGAAAAAAAAAGGTTATATCCGACACAAAGGATTACATCAATATTTCGTTATAAAATCAAATAGAAACCTTGTTAAAACTTAAATAACATATGAAATCCTATATGACGCTTTTTTTTTCTTCTCTAGGCTATTCTGATGATCTTAATCTTCGAAATCTATTTTCAAAAGCAGCAAAAACTTCACAAGATCAAAATATTTTAACACAACTTGAACAAAGTTTACCAAAATTTCTCGATTTAGATAGTAAGTAACTAATAAAAGAAGAAAAAAAAAAGGTTATATCCGACACAAAGGATTACATCAATATTTCGTTATAAAATCAAATAGAAACCTTGTTAAAACTTAAATAACATATGAAATCCTATATGACGTTTTTTTTTTTCTTTTGCTTCTTTTAGTACCTTCAAGTGAAAATGTCGACAAGTTCGTTGATATATAAATATATCACTTGAATAATTATATTCTTTGTTGTATAGAGTTTTTTCGAAATTTAAAGAAGCAGTTCGATTACTTCCAGCAAATATTCAACGCGAAACACCGCTTGATGCAAATACTGCACGAGATATATTTCCTGGAATACAACCAATTTACCGTTATGTCAAGGTTCGATCTATTTGTTTTTTTAATTGATTTCTTTCATTTACTGCACATGATTAGCTTTCTTTTTTAGTTATAAGTTACCGTTTTTTTTCTTTTCTTTTGAATCGGTTCATTGCATTTTATTTTCTTATTCTTGAGTGAGAAAAAAATCATCAATCATATCAACTATGCATTGAGAATTTAATGACGCCAAATTTTCTTTTGACTGAATGATTTGTACGTGAGATGAATTCTCTTTCCTAAGAACAAATGCTTATCTATATAAGCCTTCTATAAATATACTTCTGATTACGTTAGAAAAGAGAAAGTAATAGTATTTTATATACTGTTAAAGAAGTTATAAATTGTAATTGCTATCATAACAAACAAATCTTTTATTTAACTCATACAATATCATCAGTTATTGTCGTTGGCTTCTTTCAAGGAAGAATAAGACTTATAATTTAGAGACTTGTCAAGGATAGAAGACAATCTATCTTCCTTCATATGACGATGTTGACCTCTGAAGAACAGATTAACACTTTACTTTATACAATTGATGATGTCAATGTTATAGCAAATGGCCATGACTGATGATCTCCACCCGCCTTTTGTACAATGTCAAATCGATTTCACATATAAAGACAATGACAGATAGCTACAATATATTTATATTAAATGAAAAGTATTGTTAGTGCCAGATAATCAATACGTCAAAATGAATCGTATAAATATTCGATGTTATTTACGATCACACAGGAATATTAATATAATATGATTCACTATATAGGAAATAAAGTGTGAGGAGTCAAATGGTTTGAATAATATTATCAAAGAGAAATACTTTTTTTTTGAGACACGTTCATAGTAGTATAAATTCGTTATTTGTCTGGTACTCCTGAGAAATACTCTCCTTAAGGGAACGGATAACCTCACTGTCTCCTCTAAATCATCACTTGGGAAATATTATCAATCGATTTTTATCGTAATAATATAAAACCGCATATCGTAAAACATCAAAATCGACTATCATCTATATAAGTGTGTTCTTGATAGAATTCCGGTGTCAAAAATATTTTTCCCTCGATGATCCGATACTCTAAAATACTCATTATTAGAAAATCGACTAACTCTCAAATATTGATCAATAAACATTTTACTTTCAATGCGTAGTTCATTTTTTTTTATTCCCAAAGGAAATTGTCTGTTAAATATATTTACTGTTCATAAATGTCGCTTATAATAATCTTAATTGTCATTTTATTAAGCTACAAACTTATGTAGGACTTAAATAGACTGAAACAAAAAAGAAAATGAAGAAGAATTGTAGTGATATATGTTTAATTCTTATAGGAATCAGTATGGAAATCAATATTGAAATTAATTGATTTACCAAGGGAATTACTTCAAATTCCAGCTCAAAATTTAGCTGATACAAATTTAAATAATCTTCTATTATATTCTGATGATGACACAGTTTCGAAAGTACTTGAATATAATTCAAATCGACAAGTAAAATATGAAGAAAATAAATTTTTTAATATATAAAAATCATAATTCATTTTGTCTTCAATAGGATTTTAGTGATGAACAAAAAACAATTCTTGTTCAAAATTATATCAATAGGATAAAATCTAAACTTAATCCATCGAATTTTCAACAATTAATAACAGTGAAATTAGGTGCATCATTTCTTCGTTATCTTCCGATAGATTTTCTTGCGAAAGATCCAATATTTAATGATAATAGTGTCATTCGAAATATGTTCGTATTTATATAGACAAAAATGCAATATTTAGAAAATCTTTTTTATTTTAAAGTGCAACATGGCTTCATTTTCTTGATCCAATACGACGTGATGCTATTTCAAATAAAATCTATCGAGCATTAACAGATACCACAGGTAAAATTGTACAAAGTGATGCTCCACAACGTTTAACAAATGATGATACAAGTTCTTTAAATATGATTGTACGTACAATGCCAAGTCTATCAACAAGACAAATTATTAATGCTGTTGGAGATAAAATTGTAAAACTTTATTCAGAAATTTCTAGTTTATTAATTGATATATTTCATTTTTAAAGGTTCCATTACTTGACCAATCAAGTATTCGAGATGATCAATCATGTACAACTGCACTTGCATTACTTAATCGAACTATTGAATCAAAAAGAACAAGTAATCGTTATTTTCGACCAACTATACAGTAAAAATTCTTTAATAATAAATCATGGTCTTTCAAAAATTTATTTTCTTAGATTGGTTCAGCATTGGCAAGAATGTTATAGTGGTTGTGATCTAAGTGATTTATTTACTAATCGCGAAGATTTAAAAGAATTATTAAAAAGTCATCCAAGTCCAGAAGTAAAAATAATAAAAATAAACAATAATTTTCTATGATTTCTTTTTGAAGAGCTGTGACAACTTAGTTAGTGAAGTTAAAAAAGAATATGGTCTTGAACGTGATATTTCAGCAAATAAATTACGTGAAGTATCAGGTAAAATTTATATAGAAATTCAATCAAATATATTTTTTTGTCTTGGACTTAGATGCATTTGGTTCAATTTATCGAGCTGATGAAATAAATAATTTAAGTGATGAACTTATGGCTGAATTAGGTCGAGATGAAAAAACTTTAGAAAAACTTGGTTCACAAGATTTAACACCCAATGAAGTCAATTTTATATTATTTTATTTATTTAAAATTTCGATTATTTTTTTTTCTAGGCTAGATCAATTATAAATAAAATTCCTCGATCAACACAAAATCTTTGGGGAAAAAATATGCTTGGAAAATTAGGTAATTTAATTCCGGGACTTGACGATATAATTCTCAAACAAATTTTAACACGTGGTCGTGGTGATTTACCATCATTATTTAATAGTACCTCGCCATCATTTATTCGAAAACTTGTACCAAGTAAAATTCGTCTACTTATTGATCAAGTAAAGAAAATCTAACTCAATTTTCATATGTATTATTTTGTATTTTTTGTTAAAGTATGCAACTGAACCAAATCTTGCTAAATATCGTCAATTATTAGCATCTGATCATGCAAAAAAATATATTAAATCAGAAACATTAATGAAGATTTTTCAATTAGCACCAGATGTTCTTCGTCTAATTCGTTTTACACCTGCTCAAGTAATTTTATACTGTACAGAATAGATCAGAATTAACAACGTGATAAGAAATTTTAATACTCTTACAGTTTCAATTGAGCTTTTTAGTTGTCGTCACAAATTTTGCCACTTCCCTCTAAGTACATCAGCATAGGTGTCATACGTAAAGCTTGTTTTCATTTTTTCGTGTGTCATTCTCTCAAATAACAATTCAAATTTCATATTTATGACCCACTCTGTATAATAGAGAAAAAGATATAATGATTTTATTTTAATTTGTTTTAGGCTTCAGCTGCTATAGCAAATCGTTTAGGTTCAGAAAGAAATTTTGATGGTAATCTTAGTAGTTTAGGAACGATTAATAATTTTTTAAATGGTTTAACAAAAACTGATATTGAAAAAGTTAAATCTGAAGAATCATTACAAGCTGTACAACAAGCATTTGGTGGTTCGAAAAATAAAAATATTGATAATGAAATGCAATCAAATACAGTAAATCGAAAGATTGAATTTAGTTTTTTGTTGAAAAATTAGAATCTTTTTAGCGATATGCATTTGGAAATTTATTACGTCGTGGTCTTCAAACAAGTGAAGCAACACAAAAACCAGATGATTATATTAAAGGTCTTTTCCGTGAAGATAATCTTGTTGATGATCTCAATCCTCAATTATTTACAACAATGACAAATGCTGAACTCGATGCTATCAATCATTTAAATAAAGATCAAGCTGATCGATTTTGGAATGCTGTTGGTTCAATACGTGAACCAGTTTGCTGTTCATTTGTCAACGAAAACCGTTTTCGTTTAGCTGATTATGCTTTAAAATATTATGTAAAGAAATTTTACTTCGATATATTTGTCTTTATTTTTAAATTTCGTTTTTTTCAGAGTTCAGCAACAGGTGATATTGATAATTTTAAATTATCACAATTAGGACCATTTTTAACATCAAGTTTACGTGCAAGTGATATTCGTCGTATAACAACCGATGCATTAATAAATAAAATAAACTTTTTTAAATCAAATTGTTTTCAACCAGCTAAAGGTGAAGCACAAGCAGTTGGCGCTAGACTTAATGATGCAATCGGTGAAGTTGATGATAATGTTAAAGCATTATATCTCGATCTTATTGGAGAATTAGCTGCTTATTTACCAATGAATATAGCTGCTTCGAAAGTATGTTTGGATTTTATAAAAGAAAATGTTTTTTATCGAAAATCGAAATTATTCTAGAAAATTTTATCTTCACGAACAAATTATCTTTCAAAATCAATAGATAAACTTCAGAATCGTGATGAAAAATGTAAAATACAAGATACAGATGAATTTCTTAGTAAATCAATTTATGGTATAAAACAAACATTAGCAAATGCATTTATTGATCGACGTTTATCTTTGGATAATTCACGCCAACGTCGTCAAATAAATCAAAGTATATTGATTAAAATTTTCCATATGTACATATATACTTTGTTTAGGACGAAATAATTTAACTTGTGAATATTTACGACAAATGGGTTCGAGTATTTCTGCACTTTCATCTGAGCAGATCTCATCGATTTCTGATATTGTATTATTTCAATGTATTGGTGCATTTGGTGCAGTAAATGATCATAATTCAAATACAATTAAACAAATAGCTCAAAAATATATCCAAGTTTGAATAAAATCCTGCTGAAAAATATTTATTATGATTTTTATATTTTAGGCATTACAAAGCCAAGGTCGACATATTAATTCTTTGAGTCAATCAGAATTATATGAATTGAATTCAGTTTTAACTGGTTTTAATCCAAGTGAATTACTTCAATTACGAAATGAATATTTTCGTGATGGAAATTTTCTTTCATTTATTGGTAATTTAGATAATTTGACAACTGCACAAGTAAATAATATGTTTATTCTTTTTCGAAATAATCATTCATTTTCTAATCATTTTTAGCTTAAATCTCTAGCAAAACTTGCACTTAGTTTTGAACAACGTTTAACACCCACACTTCTTGGTAATGCTGGAAAAATTCTATGTGTTATTGATGAACAACTTCTTCGTCGTATACCACAAGAAGAAGTCAAGTAAATTAAACTTATTCGAAAACTAAATATATTCTTTGCATTTATATTATCTAGATCTTATTTAGCTATTTTGGCTAATATTGAATGTCCGAATGAACCAAATCTGAATTATTCTTCAACAATGTTTGATATCGTTAAAAATATATATCAAAAAGATATAGTTCGACCACATATTTTTGGTTCATTAGGTACCATTGCTGGTAAGCATATGAATCTCATAGAAAGAAAGAAAAATAATCTATTGTTGTTATATTCAAAGCTGGTATAAAATCTACTGATCTTAGTTCCTTATCACCTGAATTATTTAATTTTTTTCCACAACAAGCATTATCACGTTTACCAAAAGATGTATTTCAATCATCTACTATTGATCAATTACAAAATTTAAATATTGAACAAATAAAAACGATTCCAAATAATTTACTTAACTCATTAAATGGAAAACAAATGACAATAATTAATCAAATTCTCTTTCCATTTAAAACATCAGGTTAGTTTTGAATCATTTACTTATAGATAATTTATAAATTTACCCGATCAATATATAGAAGAACTTATTAAAATAAGTCATAAACCCAATAATGATTATGAATTATTTACGGATGGTATGAACAAATATAGATCTATATGCATGCAAACGGGGCATAATTTCTTTTCTTTAAATTATTTTTTTGTTTAGTTTGATGAAAATAATTAATTTTTGTTAATTTAGGTGCAATTATGAAACATACATTTTCAATGTTTATCATATGGATTTTACCATTAATTTCAATTATTTACATGTACCGATTTTGATTCAGTCTGAATAATAAGTGAAGAAAAAAACAAACATTCATTGCTTAGCAATATTTCTCTCTTTATTTTATTTTTACATAGTCTAGGTTGTTGTTTTTTTTTTCTTAATTTGTGCGTGTGATAATAAGGCATTTTTTTCTTTTCATCTTCTTTAGAACAGTATGTGGTTTCTTCATTTGCTTGTCAATTGACTAAAAATAAATAAATCTTATCTAGTTAGATATATTATAATTTAGCTTTTTAATTGAATGAGAAAAATTTTTTTTCCTATTAAAAGTAATAAAAAAAATACGTATGATGATATATATGCACTTAGACGTATCAAGGTCCAGTTATGTTGTACTTATCATACTATATGAATGACAAAAACATTATCGATGCATATATTATTATACAAGTGCATTATCCAGACATGTTTACATGTAAAGTAAAGAAACAAAATTCTTGGCATACAAATATTTGCGTCACAAAAGAAAACGAAATAATTTAAAGATTTTCTAAGTGAAAAAATCAGTTACAATAAACTATAAATGGAACTCACTATTATCGAAAGAAAAAATGTAAGTAAGAATATTTATACTCTTCTTTTATATTTTACTTTGTTATTAATATACATCCTCCACAGATAATATTAGATTAAACGAGCTCTTATTCGATAGGGTTTAAAATCTCAAGATCAAATGACATATCGCATTAAAAGAAAAGAAATATAGAAAAACAAAATTGAAATTAAAATGCTTTTAAGTATTCGAGACAATCATAGCTTGATAAATCATGACAAATAAATATTTTTTTTTCTCTAAGGTATGTTGTCAATACTTCTGCATAACAAAAATAACGCAATTTATTTTTTTCGCTTAATGATGAATCTATAAATCGAGACAAAACCGTGACAAGCAATATTACATTAAGAGCAAAATAAAATAATCTGTAGAATTTTTTTCTATCACTACAAATAGTCTTTTCATATGAAATCTCGTACCAGTATGTACATATAGTTGTAGAAGAGTATTTTCTGTAGATTGCTTACTAGAAATAATTAAATAATACTGTATCATTTACGAGAAAACAACTATTTGTTTATCTCTAACTGTCAAAAGAAAATTATTTTTGTTGCTACAATAATAAACAAGTTATTAATGGTCTTAGACATTTCCAGTATATGTCAAAACGACATAATCTAATATAGATAAATATTAAAGCATGACGTATATTTAGCAATATTATTCCTATCGTCAAAAACTAGATCGAATATCTTAATTATTATTGAAAAAATTTATCAATTTTTGATAAAGTTATGTGTATATTAACATACGTCTTATCTTATTTGATTTGATTAATTTTTGTGACTAGTAGATACAAGATTTTGATGTAAAAAGTGCTTTATAATAGAGAGAAAGTGTATTCAATGCAACATATCTATCAAATGTTAGAATACCAATACAATTGAATTGGTAGAAATGCTTGTATAGATAAATTTGAAGTATTCTTTAGTCATAAGTTCGTCGATAATTATTTTGTTATTGATCACTTAGATAGTCAAAGAAGAAATCTCTTGAATAGATGCCTTGTTTTTCTTCGCTTATTATATTTCTTTACATTAATTTATTTGCAATAATAAAATATCCAAAGGCATCTATCAAGATTCAATGGTTTCTTTTTTTTATTGATATAATACCAATTTATACAGCTAAAGGAATTAACAGACTAGCAGATTCGTTACTATATATATACGACGTATAGTAAATATTTTTTCTTCCCATTTGTTACAATGAAAATTTTTATATGTATATGTATAATATTCATTACTTTGTCTGTAATTGTTTATTCGGAAGTAATAAATAACAATGATGGACAATCATTTGGAATGAGACGACGTCTAATGGATGACAATAATCAATTTAATGATGAAATTAGATTATCTCGTCGACAATCTTCACAATGTGAACCTTGTGGTGTACGTCGTCTTAAATGTTGTTTTCCAGATTTATGTCAACGTCGACCAAATAAAATAAGCAAATGTCTTCAAGCTAAAGGATAATTATACAATTTGAAAAACGAAATATTCTAATCGAGCAACACTATATTAATCATGTAAAAATAAAAGAAAATCTATTATATTTCAAAGTACTTATACTTTTAATAAATATATATTCTCCGATTTTAATAGTTGAAAGAGGGGGTTTTAGTTAATAATTGTTTGAGTATTATTATTAAATGTAAAACCTTTATGAATCCGAGATACTTAGAGTTTTATATTGCATGCTAAGTATTGCCAGAAGACATACTAAACTGTTCTCGATTTTATGATATGTTCAAGAGCAACACGTATTATATAGCAATTGTAAGATATATTACGCAAGCTTATCAGACAGTTGTTTACAACTGTATTGCTATACGTTATCATTAGAATAATCTTACATGTTTCAAGGGAATATAATACGATTCGGCAGTTGTCAAACGAATTTCATAGTTCTTGCCATTAATTTAATAGAAACTTCACCCCATGTATACTGGGACAAACACAGAGTTTATAGTATGAATACCAAATAATAAAATATAGAGATAATTCTCATTTCATTTGAATAATTCTATTAACAGAACAATCTGACATTTATTTAGGAACATGATGTATTCTTATCAATATAAGAAGAATGTCAATGAAACAAAATTTATGTATCTAAATATGCTTGTCTTTTCCATTGTGTTGAAACCCCACTTTGATTTTATATTTATCTTTAACCTTCTGATTTTTAATCAAAAAAGTTTAACTACTATTTATATTGATTAATAAATAACCGTAAGAAAAGAACGAAACTTTGAATTAGTCATAACATTTGTTACGCTGTAGTGCAAAACTAAAAATATACACAAGTTAAATAAATTTATCATTGATAAGATTATGGGTATTTTTTCAATCAACTGTCTAAGCATACAAACTTTAGATAAGACTGTTCTATAAAAAGACCTTGTACTTTGTCTATTTGCTTAGATATGCAAAAAATAATCTAAATAATTCCGATCATATTTTTTTTTGGGTCATTGAAATAGTTATAACTTCAATGTAGTTAAGAATTATTGATTAATCAATAGAAAATACTTGCCTTTCTTTTCGATTGTTTTTAGTTATGTTATCTATTTCTTGACTTAATTTCTGTATAAAAATATTTCTTCCCCTCGAATCACAAAGATAAGTATTATGCATGACAATACATATAATACGATTGTGTATATTCGAATAAGAAATTATTTGAGTGCATTTTTTTTATACGATAATAAGCGGGTATACATCGAAAATGATTAGTAATTATTATTTTTTATATTATTGTATCGATAACAAACGAGATTTTATAGGTAATATTTTTTGTAAGAAACTGAATAGAAAGAAAAAAAGACAATAGCTGGTTTACATATATCATACTAACTGAAAAGTATACGAAATCATTATTTTCTACTTTTTTTCTTGACTACGTGCCAAATTTTTATCTCCCTTTGCTTTCTGTATTCTATATGTATGTGAGGGTGTGTATATGTTCTCCGTCTGCTGCTGCCGAGAACGGTAGATAGTTATTCTTTTTTTCTTCTTCTTCTTCTCTTTTTCTTCATCTTTTTCTTTCGCTTGCACTTTTCAATATCACCGACTGCCCGACGACTTAAGTGGTGTCACGACCCGTACTCGTCTTATCCAGTTGCCAAGATATTAAAATTTCAATTGTTGTTCAATGTATAAACAAATATTCATAATTAATTTATAATGTTGCGTGTTGCAACAATTATGCGAACAAGTTCAGGATACCATAGTCATCGTAGCGGAGAACAGGTAATTTCGAAAATTATATTCTCTAGAAATTAATTTAATAATATTAATTTACTTACTTTGTAAAGAGAAAAAATATGTAGCATGTGATTTTTATTTATCGAGTCTTTAGAAATATGACATATGTACTTATAAATATAATAGGGGTCGAAAATAAGAAAATGAAAAAGAAATAACAGCACATGATCTTGTTGTTGCGTTGTTCGATAGTGCGCACAGCTATGCATATGAAATAATTTTTTGAGTAGAGCGAACGAACAAGCGAAAACAACAACGTAATTCGCACCTGCAAGCTTAACCTTCATATATATTTTTTTTCAAATAAACATCCATACACTCCTATCAAGTGCAATTACAAAAACAACATCTGCTTGTAAATAGGCTTAAATTGAGACTAAACAACAGTAAGAAAAAAAGAAAAAGAGTTTTCTTTTCTTTTTTTTTTTTTTCTTCATTTTTCTAGAAATCGTAATAATGAATGAATGAGTATATATACACCATATGGTTTTATTTTATTCATTTCTGTTCTTTCTATTTCTTCTTCATTACTTTTGTTAGTATTATTATTATAGTAGTTCCTGATTGAAAAACACGACATCGATCTATATTGTTTTTGGTGCTTACTTATATAATTTTATTGTAGTACATTACAATACCAGATAAAAAGAAAACGAAGAAAAAAGACGAATCGACATCCCATTCATCCAAATATTTTTCATCTCATACATGAATGAACATACTCACGAATGATGATGATGACGATGATGATGAAAACAAGAAGCCACCTGCCGTTGTCGCCGGTAGGCAAATCTTTGTTGAGAAAATTAGTAAATTATGAATGAATATAATTAAAAATCATCCTTTAGCTTTTCTTATATTTCTGCATGAGAAAAAGAAATACACATTCCAGGGGTTATATATTATCTGGCGAAAGGAATAGATAGTTTATTAATCATACAATGTTTAAAAAGATAAATTCAATTACGATGTGAAGATATGTACCCATGGGAATATATCTAAATGCACGTGGTCCTTAGCTACAAGACGCTCATTGTATAGACTGTAAAGAACGAGAGAAAAACGACGATCATTTCGAACAGCTGAGTGATTTTATTTTCTCTTACGTTCTTTCACATTTACGCCCCCTACGGATGCGTAAAAAATGCATGTTGCTATTCGATCGTCGACGTCGTATATATGTGTTTTTTCTCTCTCTCTCTTTCCCTCCCTCCCTATTCATCCATCTTTTTTTTATTCTCTATCTATCATACAGTTAATACTATTAACGAACCTTATTTAGTTTCTGCTAATACTTATCGTTATATCGGGCGGTTATACAGACATTTTTGTGAGACGCTAAAAGAAACAAACAAGGACATTTTTCTGATATATTCTGTCAAAAACAGAAAAGAAAAACAAAACAAAAGTATCCTTGTAAATGAACATTTATTTTTTTATTATCATGATTTAATTTATATTAAACAATGAATCAGGAAAAAGATGAAACTACTATTGTTGAAGAAGAGGTATGATTAATTAAATATAGATTCTATTTATTTATTTATTTACAAACTAAAAACATTTAAATTAGCTATTTTATTTATTTGTTTATTTATATTCTTTTAGGGTAAAGATGGCGGTGGTGCCAGTGAATCAACAACAAATAGTGGTTCAAATAGAAATCAAGCACATACAGATGATGATGATGACGATGACGATGGAGAACCTGTTTATATTGAATCAAGTCCATGTTCTCGATGGCAAAAAAGACGTGAAACAGTATTAAAAAAAACAATAAAAATTCTTTTAGTAAAAAATAAATTTTTTGCTTTTAAATGAAGGTTGCTCAACGTGACATTCCAGGTATTGATGCATCATATTTAGCAATGGATACAGAAGAAGGTGTTGAAGTTGTTTGGAATGAAGTTCTATTTTCTGAAAGAAAAATTAGTGATAGTCAACATGTATTTATTTTTAAAATGAAAAGAAATATATTTTTTACGTTATTTTTTATTTTAGAATAAAGTTAGTGGTGTTTTTGATAAATTAATCGAATTAAATCATATGAATATTGTTAAATTTCATGGTTATTGGCAAGATCGTAGTAAACTTGATGATCGTCCACGAGTAATTTCTTTTTTTTATTAGAAATTTTTATTTTTTCAATAAACATAGGTTGTTTTCATAACTGAATATATGTCCAGTGGTTCTTTAAAAGCATTTTTACGTAAAACGAAAAAAACAAAACAAAATTTATCGAAAAATTCCTGGAAACGATGGTGTATTCAATTACTATCAGCATTAAAGTATGTTAATAATAATATTAACATTTTTTCACATCATTTACAAATAGATGATATATTCGAAAATTTTCTTTTCTAGTTATTTACATTCGTGTGAAGAACCAATTATTCATGGTAACTTAACCTGTGATACAATTTTCATACAAAATACCGGTCTTCTAAAGATTGGATCAAGTAAGTTTAGTTATTGTCAATGAGATTTTTTATACGTATGAAAATAGTTTGCAATTAAAAAGATAATAATTATATCTATAGTACATTATCCTCAGATGAAAATGTTCGCTGATTTGGGCATCGGTAGGTAGATTTTGATGTTCTTTCTATTTGTGCTTATTCCTTGTCTGCTCATCTGTAACCAATTAATTTCATAAAAAAAATGAAAGCAAATCTGATTATGCAGTGTGATTTAAATATATCGAAAATAAAAATTAAATTGCATCTTTGTTTTTTCTTTCTAGTTGCTCCGGATGTATTACATCGTCATGTGAAAAGTATATCGGATTCTGCAGCAAAGAATTTACATTATCAAGCTCCAGAAATCGATGAAGGTTTTTTGTTTATAACAGAAATGAATTTAATAATAATTATTGTCTTATTTTAGAATTAAATCAAATAACAACAGCTATTGATATATATTCACTTGGCATGGTAACGCTTGAGGTAAATTCTTATGATGAAAAATTAAGATTACACAAAAAAAGAAGGATGTTTGAATGGTTTCTGATTTAATCAAACGAACAGTAAAAAGATAGACATCTAAAGAATGTTTGAAGCGTTATAATTGAGATTTTTTTTATATCGCGTTTTCCATTATTTTAGTTGACTAAATTCCGAATCAATTAGTAAGTCTATACTTAGAACAAAAGAAGTATATTACTCTTCAGATAATTCAGTGATTAAAGATAAAAATAGGAATGATATCACATTACTAAAATGAATAACTTACATATTATTATTATTATATAAATAATACAAAATTTAGTTCGATTAAGTATTTGTATTTTCAACATAATTAATCATATATCCGCGATAATAAATATGTGATAAACAGATACATGGAGAATTTGTATACATAATTCATGTGTTGATTAAGAGTAATCAAGTAGAGAATGTAATAGAAAATTGACAGTTATGTTATTAAATATTAGATAATGTAAAAGATAAATTTTTGTTAAAAAAATCGATCTGATTTTTCGTGAAGAAATTTGAAAGCAAAACTAATTGATAATTTTTTAAATATTTAGATGAGCAATCTTGATCTCGGTGGAAATGGTGATACTCATGCAGTAACAGACGACGTTGTGAATGAAGCAATTGAAAGTCTTGATAATCCTGTACAAAAGGTAAAAATTGTGAATAATTTACAATAAATAAATAATATTTTTTTTCGAAAAAAAAGGATCTTGTTTTGAAATGTCTCGAGACCGACCCATCAAAACGGCCAACAGCACGTGAATTACTCTTTCATCCAGCTTTGTTTGAAATTCCCTCATTAAAACTTCTATCTATTCATTCATTAGCGGATGATATTCGTAAGAAAATATCTTGCCTTTTATTTTATATCATATATTTAATATGTCTTTCGATAGGCTCAAAACCAGATCGTTCATTTGTTTCACCATTTCATCATTATTCATCTATTGATCAAACCTTTGCCGAATCAGAATCAATGAAAGAAGGTGTCAAACCGGTTATTTTTACGTATGCTACCTCATTTTCAATATAAAACAATCGTTTTTTCTTCTTCTGTATTTTAGTTACAAAGATTGTCCAACATTGGATTTGGATAAACTTCTTGAAGATGTTCAAAATGGTTTACATCCAATAACAGCTTATCATTTATTATTTCCAACTCATAGTACACTAAATCTCTTAATAAAATCTCTTCTATCAGATAAAACTCTACCAACATCAACATCATTTTCATCATTTCCTTCATCGAATCTAACGAATACAGATAATGATTTAACAACACCAACACAAGCGGCAATAGATTCAGCACTTTTTTATTCAACCAATACAAATGATCCAAATTCAATAACATCAAATACGAATGGAATGAAAACACGAAATGGTATAACAACATTTGAACGATCATCGTCATCAACAAATGATACTGAACATAATACAAATGATTCATCATCAACAATTATTAATACAAATACTTCTACAACATCATTATCTAATAGTGATGAGAAAGAAAATCGAAGAATTATTGATATACAATGTAAAATTAAAACAAAAGAAACTCGTTCATGTTTGGTAAGACGAAAAAAAAAGAATATGTTTTTAAATTTTATGTGTATTTTGTTTTCTTTGTATATTTAGTTATTTATTAGTGTGAAATTTCAAGATCGATTACAACGTGATATGACAGCAGAAATTGAATTAGATGAAACATCAAGTAGTATAACGAAAGAATTACTTGAACTCGGCTTAATTCATGAGGTTAGTAAATTATTTTCATAGATATTTCGAAATTCTAGAAGAACTATGACTCATAAAACTTTTTATAGCAGGGAAATTCTTTCTTAGGCATTTAAAAATTATCATGAATGTTTCAACACATTCCGGTCGTTTAAGGTTGAATTCTTCTGTATGGTACATAGGCGCAGTTGTCCAACACATCAAAATAGTTTCGTTAGATTTCGTCTTTTTCTTATAAGTCTAAAAGTAAAATATATGCGCGTGACGGAATCAATAAAAATGGTAATGCGTTTTCAGTGTTATGTGAAAAACCGAAGCTTAGCTTAACTATAAATGTATAGCTATCCAAGTAAAAACAGGTATCGTGACGGAATCACAATTTAAAACTCGGTGTGTTTTTATCACCGTTTATTTCTCTGACACATGAATTGCAATTTCATTGAATGGATGAGGCTAATAAAGTATGCACCCAAATGTCTAAGGAAAAATATCTTTCGAATTACAGGATGAGAGCACAAATTTTGTATTTTTTTGACTTAGCTCAGATGGGTGAAAAAATCGCTATAGAAAAATTTTAATCTAGATATCTTTGACTGGAGCAATAAACTTGACAAGTTTCTTATCAGTTACATTAGTGTTGATAATTACTTCGATACAAAAAGAAGACATGTGAAATTTACAAATTAGAATCAATAAAGGAAGATGTGAAATAGATAAATATTTTTCTCACATATTTCATTCATTCAAAAGTCGAAACTTGTACACAAAGGTATACAAATGTATAATTTCACTAGAGATAAATATTTTTTTTGTATTATCATCGTTATTAATTTCTTACATTTATTTTAGAGTGATTATACACGTGTTGAACAATCAATTGATAAAGCATTTAATGCTATAATAACATCTCCCGATGTTATTAATAGTACTTCAACATCATTACTTGATGTGAAAAAAACAGCCGTTGTTGCAGCTACAGCTGCACTTATAACATCTCAAGCATTACAAAATCAACTAAGTACATCATCTACAACAAATGGAACATTAATGGATGCGAACAATATACCAACATGGACGAATACATCACAACCAGTCATGTTTTTACCGACTTGATTTCTTTCTTTATGTTTTTTCTTTTTCTTGTATTGTATGCATGTTATTTTGCAACATAATAATCTACATATAAATTTATCTTCAAATGTAGAAATTGGTGCTTGCGTTTTTGTATACATACATTTACACAGTGTTAACCTTTATGGTTATCTTTTCTTTTTCTTGTATACGCCAAGCGATTCTTCTCTTTCTATAAACGTATGTGTTTGTGTATGAACCTTTTTTTTTTAAAAAAAAGAAATAATTTATTCATTATTAATATTATTATTATTATTTTTTGTTCTTCATGCCTTATTCACGGGCGAAATTGACATTAACTCTTGTTTGATTTCTTTTCCTCTTCAAGTCTTTCGATGTCCCAAGTTGTTCTTCTCATACTATGATAATAATTATTTTTCTTTTTGATTAATTCATTTTTTTCCTGTTCTTTTGTCCATGTATGTGTGTGTGCAGTATTTGTATGTAAAAGTGAAAGTTAGAAGAAGAAGAAGAAATGAAATTTGAAAATTATTTCAATTCATTAAGAATTCTAATGTACAACTATTTGATTTATCAAGATCTAATAATACTTTACAATGTTCTTCATGAATACGTATTTGTGGTCGACATTTTTTAACAAGATTAAATGCATCAATTAATGTCATATTGTTTGAATGCATTAAATAGACAATAGCTATGAATGGTGTACGACTCATTCCAGCTCGACAATGAATTAATACACGATTTGAAGATTTTTCTTGACGAGCTTGTTCAATAAATTGAACAATAAGTGGAAGATTTTTTTCACATTTAGTTTTTGATAAACCATCTTCTATATGAAATGTACCATAAGTAAATTCCGATGGATAATGACATTTACCAGCTAAATTAACAATATGAGTAATTTTTAATGAATGAAGACCATCCAGATTTTTTGATGTTTGACTGCTACCAAGATAAAGAAAATTTTCAATAAGTTCTGAATATTCAAACGATTTTATAGGTAATTTGGATTGTTGACGTGCCATAATGAATTAAATTCAAATAATAAAACTATTCTTCTTTATTTATACCAATAACAAGCATGATAGAATTGCGTCATTATTTCGCAATAACTATAAATATTATATATGAATCATACTAGTAGTCTATTCGCTGTTATTATATTTATACTCAAAGGAATTTGTCCAATACAGAAATGTATAAAGAACCAATGAATTGAACTTTAATTTATATTAACCTGCGAAAGATTTCAGTATGGATAATAATTAGATTTTACATTCCTTCTAAATGTACGAGCAGATTTTATATTTCAGGTACTATCAAATAAGATTCTTTGTTAGAGAATTCATGATTATCTTTTATATTAAAAAACCGATAGTTTTTAAGAAAGTATCTACATATAAATATAAAGTATAAAATTCAATCCATTGTTTTTAAACATATGTGAAATTACGAATATTTGATTTGATAAAATTTTGAATACAGCTAATACTTTTATAACAAAAGTAAATATATTAATTCTAACCATTTATATAAGAATAGGTATTAATACGTTGATAAATAGAAATAAATAAATCCTATATTTATCAAAAATCTACAATTACACCAAAAGAAAACAAATCGATACTCAGGCTACTGCGTTAAAATTTACTCCGTAGTTATTCGTTGAAACGCAGAATTCAACGTGGTTTTACATGTTATTTTATAAGTTTTAACGCGTTAATCACAGTAGACAAAACTAGCGGAGATAAAAATCGTAAAAATATGCACTTTTCCGGATTTTATTTTCGTTAAAATTTCAAAATTTCTATGCGTATTTCTCCGTTTTGTCTGTCTGGGTATCAGTGATTCAATCATTTCAATGTAATTATTTTCAAAAACTAACGAACACTTACATAGTAATATATCTATTCCTATTAATTTAACTTACGATTTAAACTTGTCATAGTTTAGAAACTTACAACTATAAAAATATCTAATGTAATTAGTAATAGACATCTGTATCTGACAGAAACTTACTGTCAACTTTTCTTCTGGTTAGAGTCTGTAAAATAAACGACATTGTCAAAAAGACTAATAAAAAATAATTCCGTAAGTATTCTTCTTCTTTTTTTTTTGCATTCTTTCTTCGTTCGTTGTCACAATCGATGTCATTGTTATTAAACAAGGCAATATTTTACAAGGTCATGTCTATCATATTTACTCATCGAATTTTTATTGTGTTATGATGGTATTATATTAAATGAGAAACATAAAATTTAAACTGTAAGTTTATATACCGAACTCTTTTAAAATGAACGATATGTCTCTCTAAAAGAAAATATATTTCATCCGAAGAATACGGATCAATATATAATTTCAATTGTATGATCTCAAATAAATTAGTAGTATGAAGATTTACCTTTTTTTCTTCAAACGATATAAATGTCGTTTAATTCTTTTGAATAGTTTCTTTTGTTCTTACAATAAACCCAATCCTCTCCCGCATCTAATGATAGAAGAACTCATACAATTTTGATTAAAAAAATCGATTCTTACGGACTCTTTTCACTAGATTTTCTTTACATACAATGAGAAAAATTATTTATTCTTCTATCTTTTGTATTTGCTAAGGCTTTAGATTAGAAAGCATTATTTTTATACAAGAATTCTTTTTTTATTTAAAGAAAAATTGACTATATTCATTCATGACAAATCTCTAGTTTAAAACATACACGTAATAAACATTTATAAAGCTGTATTGTAATAATGACTACAATTTATACAATAATGCTTCGGATAAGAAAAAGCAAATATTTATATATAAATATTCCTGACAAAATGGATGTGACATTACTTAGATTTTTCTATATTTTATAATTAAAAGTAAGATTTTGTTTTATGTCAAGAAATTGCCTTGATACTGGGATGAATAAATATAAAGAACGATGAAATAGAATTATTCTATGTGAAATTTTGATTTAATATGAATGAGAGAAAATTTTTTTTCTCCAGTTATCAGGTATTCAGTTACACTGATCAGATTTTTGTTTCGGAAGTGGAAAAAAGCGGCAGCCAAGAATATTATTTATACGATAATATTACCTATGACAGAATCGAACGATTTTTTGTCATAAAAAAAGAGTACACAGGTGTTTGAGCGTCTATTGTATCTTGTTCTTAACTATATATGACGGTATAAAATTTGTTTTACCTAATATGATCAGAAAAAAAGAAGTAGGAATGATATTCACATAATGACACGTTCGTTCTCCCGTGTATCTCTGTTATAAACTTTTTTTTCATATGAAAAAAAACGTGTTATACATATGTTTAGTGAATAACGCACATATTCATTACCTTGACGTCGGTTTTTTAATGGCAAACGAACATATACATTTATGAGAGGGAAATAAACAATATGATTGATTTTTTTTTCGTTTATTATTGTACCCTCTTATTTTTTTGTTTTTCCATTTTTTAGAGAATATGCGTCGTGTTGGACTACGTTTTGTATTAGCTGCTATTGGTTTATCTATATTTTGTATTTTAGTAGTATTTGTAACTAGTAATTCAAGAGATGATATTCATGAAAAACTATCTCAACCAGCTAAATGTGATTGTCCATTGACAAAAGATGCACCTTCAATCGTACCTGTATTATCATCAACTGTTATTAAACCTAAGTCATGTATAGAAGTTCAAAATACATCTGCTGTAAAACGTGCTATTGTTATTTTTTATCCACATCATCAAAGTGAATATTTCTTTCCAGAAGTTCGATGGTATGTATAAACTTTTTGTTTTATATTTCAAGGTTATTAATTTGAATTAATATATATTTATTTTAGGCTTTATCGTTCATGGTATGAAATGTTACGTAGTCAGCCTTTAACATGGCGAACGGATTTTGTGATATTTACATATAATTTTTCTACTGAATTTCGAAGTCTTGGTTGTGTCAATCGTATACGTCAAAATGCAGAAGAACCATCGATGTGTCGTCTTTTTCTTTATGTACCAATACAATTTCGTACGAGTGAAATGATAAAGAATAATTTTCAGAATGCATTTAATGATGCAAAACGTGTTATGGCATCATATAAAGATATGAAAGATCCATTCATTGGTATTCCAATAGTAGCAGATACAGACACATTTCATGCTAAACGTTCACAATCTTTATATGACGATCTTCGTTCATATGGTTATGTTGACTCAATAAATACAATCTATGAAGGTTATCCAGTATTTAAAATATATGATTTTATTCTACGAACTGATATTGGTAGGTTTATAGGCTCTTAACAAGTAATAATTACTTCGTATAGGTGTGATGAAGTAATCATATGTGCATATTGTAAAATGAAGGTCCATTGTTATTATTTATAAAAGTAACACTTAGATTTATTGAAATGATTATGAAAATTAATTTCTATAAAAGGAAATTTGAATTAAATCTACATTGTGCTCTTCTAGTATTCTACTAGAAACAATTAGATCATTTTTCAAATTTAGTAACGACACTTCGTAAAAAAATTGAACAACAGTGTTCATTTGTATAGTTCTTTCAAATTATTAGCGGAAACCTAAAAACAAATCATTAATTAGAATCAAATGAAATAGGGAATAAAAATGAATGATTTCATCTTTATTTTATTATTTAGATGTTTTTATTTATCGTCATTTTGCAAATTATATTCCCAAAAATTGTACTCTAATTACCGGTGGTGGTGGTTATGGAACGGATTTTAATCGTCGGAAACTGAGACGTATTGCTCATGATATGGGTTTTGCGCATGCTAATATAAGTGGGATGGGTTCTACCTGGTTTGTTTTCTAAACTAAATAGTATTATTATTTATATAAATATATAGGTATGGTTCACCCTACGATGGATATTTAGTTGCTAATAACACATTAGAGGGTATGTTATGGCTAGCACAAAATGAATTTGCTACACCAGAAAGAGAATCTAAATTGGGAACATTAATGTGGCCGGAATGGTATATATTTTCTCTTAATAATTAATTAATTAACATAGATAATATCTTTTTAGGCATTATGGTGTTTTACTTTTATATGGTCAACATTTAGCATTAAATCATTTAGTTGCTACAAATCAAATTCGAATTGTAATAGGTCATAATCTTCTTGATCAATCAACAACAGATAAAAGTACGGACTATGTTCAAAAAGGTACACTCCTTAATTTACATTGTTGGCATACGGATGAACGTTTTTCAAAATTTGCTTTTAAAATGGGTCACTACAATCAAACTGACTTACAAAAATTTAAAAATGATACAACCGCTCAGGCCTATGTAAGAAAAACTAAAAATAAGAAAATTTAAAAAAAAACTTTTTCTTTTATTTATATACTCAAGGCAATGCGAATGGCACTTGAATCAAAATATATGACACTTGAAGAATTGGCAGCAAATGTCAGAAATATTTCTAAGGCATCCTAATATATATCATATCAATAATGAACTACAATCCAATGATATATTATATAATCGTTTCGCAATTTTAATATACATTACTGTAAGAAATTTTATAGTCAGAAAGTTTTATATTAATTAAATAGCAGAACATGTATTTTGATAGATCAATAAACTTGTTACTATTTTTTTTGTTACAATTTATATTTAAAAGAAAATGTATAGGCACAAAATCATTTGCTAGTGTAGTTGATAATGTACAAATGAGAAAATGCTACTGGAACTAAATACAAAGTTTAAAATCGATATTTTTTTCTAAAAGAATGTGTTAAATGGAAAGAATAGTAAATTGGTATGTCACATTATGCCAATAGTTTGTCATGTATATATATATACATAGTAATATTATGGCTTTTGTCAAACAGATATCTTACAACTATACATTTCAGCTTGAGTATAATTACTTTTATCGTTAACAATAGCTAGTATTTATGGTAGCTTCCAGGAAAAGAGGACTGGAAAATGGTGACCTTATCTTCGTACAACCTTCATCATCATTATTATTTACATATGTATACAAATAAATCTCACATTTCCTAATGACTCGATGTACTTGGCATGCATCATAAACAGTAAACATAGAATTATTCACTCGTTATTTTTTGAAGCTTCTGTCTGTCACTTCTATTCTTTGTCTGTTACCATCTGCACATTTAGTGAACCCAATGTTCTCTTCTACATACTTCAAAACATTTCTTCTCTTTTCTCTCTCTCATCTGTATTAAACACAGTAATGTCATATTAAAGACTAGAAATTCTATCTTGATATCTGATTTCTATTCTGATCAATGTCTATTATATTTTTCTTTGTATTATATTAATATAATATTCTATTTTCTTTTTTTTCTTCCTTATATTATATTTATAACATAAGCTCGCTTACATTTTTATTAACTCACAACTAATCTTTTTCTTTGTTTTTACATCAATCATTTCTCATGTTCTTATAGTAAAAGAACATGTTAAAGCTTGTCTCAGTTTCTTTAAATAAAACAATAATCTTGTTCACAATTGGACATTATCGTGTCATTACTTAATGGTGGTGAGTCATTTTTAGAATAAAGACCTTCTATACAAAAAAGAAATTATTTTTTTCGTCATCTCTATAAATGAAGCTCGTAGGGACAATACATTCTTCTAGTCGGCATGTTAGTTAAATCATTTATTAACAATCAATAAACTAAGATGATCATTTTTAGTGAGGACTAATCATATTTCTAACAAAGCAATTCTAATACGTCAGTCACATGCATCATTGATGAAGCAAATAAATAGTATATAGAAGATATTTCTCAATGGAATATATTTTCTCATTAATCTAATGAACTATTTTCATTTCAATGTCATTTGATAGTTTTTTCGTAAGAAAAATCTACTGAGATTTGATTATATTCTATGTGTGTTTAAACAAATATATTTCATTCAACGATGTTTCGAATATTATACTCTTATATCTATCAATTTGTTCGTAAGTATTTTTTTTTCTACGTATAAAAAAATAACGTATTTCCCATGAGTCTAGTCTTAGATCAATCATTAACGTATAAAGTCGTTGTTTTGAAATATACTCTTTAGAGTTTGAACATGATTCGATATTATTCATCAATATTTACTATAGGATCAAAACAGATCTGTCGATTATACAACAGTAAAACTTACAATTAAGAACGTATTTATGAATATTGAAAATAATTATATCGATGTTTGTATCGTTGTTTTTTGTTCATTTTATAAGAACTGAGTAATTAGATATTTAATTAAGAATTTATACATGTGCTTTACTTTATAAATGAGACCTATTTTGTAACACGATATATTTTATCAGCAGTAAAGAAAAAAAGATAAGAATTATTTCGTTTTGTCACAGTTTATAAGATTGTATGAAAGTATTTCAATCAATATTTACGTGTAAGATGCGACTAAAACGTAAGTTTTATTAACTCTTATAAATGAATAAGCCAAGTTTATATGCTATATTGAAATTTAGATAGTGTTTAAACATTTTTAATTTATAAATTATTTGTTATAGAATTATGCCAAATTGTTATTTCTCTTTTGCCTAAAATATTTATTAATTCATGAAATTAATAAATAATTCTGTTGGGATTTGTATTACATACTTTGTTCAATAAATATTTAGAAATACTTTGTAATAATGACATGAGAGAAAAGAAAAGAGTAGGTTTTTTTTATATACTATCTAGGGGTAGAACAGTGTAGAACAATGCGTATTATTACTTCAGAACTTTATTTTATATTTTCGTTTTTACGCATATTTGGGCATTAAGATCATAGAATTTGAGGCAAAGAAATATTGAAAGGTAAAGTATTCGAATACAAAAGATGGTTATTTCAATGATAAGTATAAGATAAAGAGATTACTGTTAATCTATCTGAAAATGTATTAGTCTTACATTAGAAACTTATCGATCTCAAATATGGAGATGTTGTAAATAAGCAAGCGATTCATGCTTGTTGAAGAATCATTATTTCTGAAAATTACTCATCTCTAAATCAAGATATTTTCTTAGATTAGAAGGTATCTAAGAGGTATTCCGATATGTAGTCATTATAGTTTATACAAGTGCTATAGGTGAAAACTGAGAGAAATTGATCTATTAACAAGTATTGATCTTCTCAGTCGAGAAGAATATGTTTTCATTCTTCATTTTCGACGATGTGAATGAACTTCTTTTCTTTTTATGATTTTGATTCTTAAGAATATTAAATAAAATATTAATTAAGAGTTCAACATCGAAAATTATAGAATAATTACGTTTATTAATAGAAAGTCTGACTTCCATTTTGAACAAATATTTATGTTTTAAATATTCATTTTTCTTATTAATAATGAAACAGCAAACGTGTAGAAAAAAAAATTTCACTATCTATTAGCTTTAGAAATACAGTGTAGTGCTGAAGAAGAATATTATAAACACGTTTCTTGTGTACGTGAATAAAGAGCTTTTTCGTTCTACAGTAAGTTTAATGATAAGATGCAGTATTATCAACTGTCACTTCATTTTTCAAGATACGGTTAGGAGCAATACACGTCATCAACAGATATCAAAGTAATGTTTAATTTCTTAACGATGATATGTAATACACATTGTCATTTCAAATTAAATGAAGCGAGAGACAATCATTGAGATAAATAGGAACATATATCTAAAGGAAAAAAATATCAGTGCATATATTACTTTTTGTCATAGTTTTGACGTCGTTTACCTTTAATATGAACTTGCATTAATCTAGCTATATTCAATTCATTTATAAATACGTTTGTTTCAAATGAAAACAGAAGAATTGAGTCATACAATTCTCATATTTGTTGTTTTTGCCTTGAGCTACTATAGAATACCTATTTTTAGCATTTTAACACATAAAAGAAAATGTCAGTTTATTTTTAAAAACGAATTCATGCAGTCAATACGTTTACTTTTTTTTTTCTTTCGGAATATATAATATTTGCCAATGAGTCAGTGTCATGTGCTTTGCATGTTTGAGAATATTAAAAGCCTCATTTTTTTCCACTAGACATGCAGTGAATTCAATTAAATCGGATGTGGGTTCCGTCCATTGATAAAAAGAAGGTATTTCCTGTTTTAATATGATAAGTTTATGCATAATGGAATAAATTATGCAAAAAATGAATGAATCACATTTCAAAAAATACTCAAATCTGACCTTGACCAAATCTTATGTATATTCTCGAAATACCTTATGGTAACAATCCATAATTCGTTACTTATCTCTGAGTGAAATGATCGTGATGTATTTCGAGTCTCTTTCATCATGTATGTCTGTACTTCTTCTATATAGCGTGATCTAGTTTCTGTTTTCTTTCGATCTTTTTTCCTTAAAACTCATACTTGTCTGTTATTATTATGAATGTCTTTTCTCATAGTATACAAAGAACAAGAAAAAGGCAGTTTAGACGCAAGATTATAACTCTTAAGTAGTGTCTATCATATAGAAAATCGTCACAATTATATAGCATTAAAAAAGCTTGAAAATATTCGAATGCTCTCTATTGTTTTAGTTCAGTCTATTTCATAAGCTAATATAATTAAGTACTTTTTTGGAAACAAAGCTATACATAAAACGATAGAAATTAGTTTTACATTTTTGTTTACGTATCTTTTATAGGTATTTGCAAATTCATGTCATTAAGCATTGCTCCATATAAACATCGAAAATTGACCATACCTTTTTTAATTATAATTATATTAATTGGTACTTATTTACTAGTTCAAACATTTAATTCTGGTCTTGGTATTTTAGCACCGGTAATGAAATTAATTTTCTAATATACTAGTTTAGTAGTAAAATCTTTGAACTACGCCGATTATATTCATATCTGTGAATTACAACACACAATCATCTACCGTTAATAGTTTAATAATATTTTTCTATTTAGGCAAATAGATATCTACTAAAACAAACATCACAATTAAATTCTTCATTTGTTCGACGAGCTATTTTAGTATTTTATCCAACAAATCAAGAAGCACATTATTTATCAGAGATTCGTTGGTTATATCGATCATGGATTGAAATGATGAAATATGAATCAAAAAATTGGCGAACAGATTTAATAATATACACTGAAAGATATTCATTATCATTTCAACAACTTGGTTGTATTGTTAATGAAATACGTAAAAATGAAACTGAACCACCACAATGTCGAATATTTTTATATCTTCGTATCTCAAATCGAAAAATAAATTCTGTAACTAATCATCAAACAATATTTGTTGATACTAATAAAAAAGAATTATTTAATGTTAATATTCCACGTTCAACATTACTATACCGTCATCTAAGTACATATGGCTATATTGATTCAGTTAATATTATAGCAGAAGGTTATCCAACATTTAAATATTATGATTTTATACTTAAAACTGATATTGATGTCTTTATTACAAAACAATTTGCTAAATTTATACCTTTTGAACATAATGGATTGCTTGTTGGTCGTGGCGGTTATTCATCAGACTTTAATAATCGTCGATTAGCACGTATTGCTCGAGATATGAATTGGACACATCAAGGAATACCTAATATTGGTTCAACATGGTAAATATATTGTTGTTTAGGAGAACAAAAACTTACAGATTTATATATAACACAAATCAGTTTTACTATACAGAGTTCTATTATTATTTTTGTTTTCAGGTATGGATCACCATATATTGCTCAACGTATAGCAACTTTAACCTTAGATGCAATGCTTCATTTATATAATAATGAATTTGCTCGAGCTGAACGAGAACAGAAATTAGGAACTTTATTATGGCCTGATTGGCATTATGGTGTATTAAGTATGTATGGTACACATTTAGCAGTAAATCATTTATTAATTTCGGAAAAATTAAATGTCACAAAAGCAGATCAATTATTAGATCAATCGACAACAAATCCAGATCAATTTGATTTAGAAAAAAATAATCGATTACATTTACATTGTTGGCATACTGAAAAAAAATTTTCAAAATTTCAATTTAAATTAGGACAATATAATCAAATACATCCACGTTCACTTCTAAATGATAGTTCTGCACAAGCTTATGTAAATTCAATTAGAAAAAATTAAGATATTCTAATAAGTATTTTTATTTTATTTCTTTTTTCAGGCTATGAGAATGGCTTTAGAATCTGGATTGATGTCACTTGAAGAACTTGGACAACGCTTACGTGATATTAGTAGTAACAGAACGATATAATTATTTATTTGCATATATATTTTAGAAAATTATTGTTATTATTGCTATTTTTTTGTTTAATGTTATCCGGTGGATTGTATCGAGTTATTATTTTCTTTCTATAAAGTAGGATTCTATATAGAACAGTACGAAATTGTATATTGGGTTTATATGATATTAAAATGTCTTATGACATAATATCAATTGGATAGAAAAAAAGAAAATTACTAAATATCATTTGACTATGGAATGATTAATTTTGATTTTCAGTCTTTTCATCTTATATATTAATGAATGATAAGAACGTAACAGTTGGCGACAAGTGTTAAAATACTTTTAACGAGCATTTCGTAAATAATGGTACCATTTGTATATTGTGCTTTAATCATTTTTTCAAATCATGTCATATAATGTACTTTTTTCATAACAGAGGTGAACACAGGACAACTCTTTTTTGAGTATAGGTGTGGGTAAGAATTTTTATTACCATTCATCTAGAGAGTTACTTGGAGCATTTAAAAAATAGAGCCAACATTATAGGATTTGTCTATGTTGAGATATTTGTAAAATATTTCATGTTGGAATCATTTTCATTCATCCCGTATAATCTATAATTAATCTACTTAGTTTTACAAACAAAAATCAAACTTTACTTATTGTACCATGAGCCATAAATATTTTTCATTCCTGCGCCATGATTGCCTGTATATCATATTCCATTATTCACACACACATACACTATATACGATCTATCGAATCCTCTTCTATTCTTCTACAATGATTGGTCACAGATGTTGGGTATCATTATTGAAACTAAATGATCTATCGAGCATATCTCACTTATTATTATTATGCATTACCTTCAAATATCACTGTAACTAATAATGAACACAATGATATTGTCTATTGTAAGGAACAATTCGAAACGTCTTTTCTTTCTATTGAATGTTTTCCTGTTTATCTTGAATTCAATAATTCTATTTCATCAACAATCTATTCGAACCTGTGTAAATACTTCAATTTCACATCCTACTACAAGACAAAATGATATTGATAACAATGACTATACTCCACGTCTTCATCAACCGTTAACGTCACTTATATTACGTGGTCTTTTAGTTTTTTATCCACAGAGTCAAGAAGAAGAGTATTCACCTGAATTACTATGGTTTTATCGTTCGTGGCTTGAAATGATGCAACAGGAACCTTTCATATGGAGAACGGATCTTATTATTTATACAGAAAAATACACTTTACCACTTCAACAACTTGGTTGTATTTACAATCGTATTCGAACAAATAAGGGTGAACTACCACAATGCCGAGTTTTTCCTTATCAAACTTTAGATTTTCGTAATGGAACAGATGAAATTGATAAGACTAACATGTATTTATATCAGCAATTTGATAAAAATCGTTCAATGGCATTAATGGAATATACTAAAAAATATCCATATATAGATTCAATCAATATAATTGCTGAATGTTATCCATCATTTACTATGTATGATTATATATTGCGTACAGATATAGATGTTTTTCTTACAAAAAACTTCGGTCATTTTGTTCCACATAAGGATACATTACTTGTTGGAAAAGGTGGTTATTCGACAGCGTTTTCTGCGAGACGTTTAACACGTATTGCGAAAGATATGAATTGGATGCATGCAAATATAACCAATATCGGATCTACTTGGTATGGACCACCACACATAGCTCAACGTATTGCAAATTTTAGTTTAGAAGCTGTGTTACATCTATCAATGAATGAATTTACACTACCAGAAAGACAAGGAAGATTAGGTGATGTAGTGAGTTTATTTTAGTTTTCTATGAAATCGAAAAACTTACTATAATCTTAATATAGCTTTGGCCTGATTGGCATTTTGGTGTGTTAAGCATGTATGGTACACATTTAGCAGTAAATCATCTAATCGTAGCTGAAAATATTCATATAGGTTTAGCTACAACGTTATTAGATCAAAATACAGATACAAAGGATTTATATGATATAGAAAAAAACAATCATTTACATTTACACTGTTGGCATACATTTGAACCGTTTTCAAAATCCCTTTTCAAAGATGGTCGTTATAATCATATAAATCCTAGTACACTAATGAACGATACATCGGCATCTGGTTACGTAAGTAGATTTTCTTATGAATGAACATTGAGTTTATTCTTGATATTGATTAAATCTTTTTTAGGCAATGCGATTGGCATTGGAATCTCGTTTAATGTCTTTCGGTGGTCTAAGACAAGCACTTCTTACTTCAAAATCATTACCAAATTCATAATTGTCATTCTGTTGTATTAGTTGTATTTTTATTATTCTATTTAGATAAAAAGAAATTTTTAATAATGCTTTATTTTTCCAATTGTTCAAAGGATAAAACTTATCGCGTTTCTTAATATTGGTAGAGCTTCGTTGTCAACGATTAGTAACTGAATAATTAATATCATCTATTTCAATTTATTGCTTACGGTTATAAATAATAAATTTAAAATAGTCAATAGCGATACTTGCATGAGAGAAATAGATAATGGATCATACAAATGAAGATTGTATTGTGATAATAGATGAAAAGCTTGTTATTCCTTATGGTATATCATGTTTATACGCTTTCATAATAAGTAGAAAAAAAATGTATCAATTTCTATAAACAAAAACATTTATTCTGTAGTATGTATGATGATTTTAGTAATATCTGTTATATTATATAAGCGTGTCTAACATCTAGTTTTTTTTTGATAACGATGGTGAATCATTAACCTTTTGGCTATTAATTTCAGTTTTCAAATACAATTTTGCGTATCATCACTGTATCACATAAAACAAGAGAGATGATAGACTGCCGGATAATCTTTTCCAAACACAAATACCACAAAATACTATTTTGATTCTAGTAAGAAAACAACTTGTTGTCAAGAAAGATTTTAACGATTGATATGTATCTTCAAAGGAACTATTCGTGATATTGCATAATTTATTCATATGAAGTATCAAAATTTCATACTACAAATTGCTCTATCTGTATTTGAGGATAAACATACAGATATCGTACATATTTTTATACAAGAATTAATCTCACTTTTCACTGGCAACATATTTAATTTAATACGAAACTAAATAATTGTGTAATGTAATATCTCTTACTTCTATAAATCAACTCATATAACATTGATATATTTGTTATTGTTTAAGAAATCTTATGCATGTTTTAAATATATGTTAATAATATCTAGAATGCTGATATTATAATTTAATTTAATATTAATAAAATATTATTTATGATGAATTGATTTCAGTAAAATGAATTATTCATATAGTTCAATTCGTTTATCATTGTTCTACTGTTGATTACTGACCTCTATTGATATGTTTACAAGCAACTTGATTTTCTTTTCTTCTTTTTCTCTTCCTAGTCGATTTTTAGTAGCGTATCAAATAAAGCTTTGAAAAGAAAATTGACATGGCGTAATTGTTTAAATCTTTCACTTTTGTTTTTCTTTGGACAAAAATTTTACAAACTATATCAATAAAACTATCTTTTCAGATAACTTCTATTGACAAATATGGATAAATTCGTCAATGACAATCATTTTGTACTAATTTATAGATAAATTTATCATTCTCGTTTCAAAAATGACTAGTCGTGACGGTATAAATCGAACACGTTTACGACCAACAAATCCAATTGGTGATCAAGTATTAACACCGCTAGGACGTGGGCCAACAACAAATTCCTCAATATCAACATCAACACCTCTCAATTCAATTTCATCAACACCAGTACCAACAACTGTTGTACAAAACTCTGGTAATGTTCGTTTACGACGAAATCTGAATAATCCAATTAATAATAATAACAATAACAATCTTGAAACTGATTCGAATTCTATTGTTGATGTTGGCATATTTGATACACCAACAGCAATCATAGCATTTGATGCTGAACAATTTCGTACAGAAATAAAAGCCAATGGACGTGATGAAAAACGTTTAGAACAATTAATACTTACTGCAATAAATTATTTTTTAACAACATCAAAACGTTCATCACAACAAATAGCTGATTATACCGTATTATCAATTCTTGCATGGTCTGTAGCATTACATTCGGAAATCTTTCGATTAACATCTGTATTAAAAGCAATGTGTAATCTACTTAAAGGATCAACATTAACAAAAACAATGAAAACATTTCCAACAGTAAATAATGGAAATAATTTAAATGTAACAGCAACACCTTATGCACTTGTTTGTCAAATACTATGGCATGCGTTTAAAGTAAGAAATAAGAAATTCGAATTAAAAAAACCTATTGTATTATTTCAGGATCAAACAAATTGGCCAGATGAATTCATTGAAGCATATGTTGATGATGCATTAGGTGAACAAAATTGGATAAAAAATCCTGATTGTCAATTATTTGTCTCAAATATTCAAACAGCTTTTAATACACGTCCATGTACATGGAAATTAGATCGATTAAAAATCTTTCCATCAATTCCTCTTTCTTCCACAACACCCGCAACTACACCTGCACAAATCTTATCAACACTAAATGATGAAACAAGTAATGATAGTAATAATAACAATGAATCATTATCATTAACAACAACTGAATCCGAACCATCAATACATACGATGGATGATACAATAACGAATAATAATAATAATAATAATACAGATAATCAATTAATTATTCCACGTTATGAAGGACGTAGTCAAGCTATTCAAAATTTTCTTCAAACATTATTAACAACAAATGCAAAAATAAAAGCAACAAGTGGAAATTCAGCTATTTTAAATCCTTCAAATCCATCAACAGCAACATCAACAACTACAAGTCAACCACATGAAACAGATAAATTACTTTATTTACTTGAATATTTATGTGGTTTATCAGATATACGTTTATATATATTATCAAGACTTGATATATGGTTGCAAAATCCGAAATTAAGTCGTACAGCAGAAAAATTAATGATAACATTATGTGAAAATTTAACTAAACCAACAACATTAAATAATAATACATTAACAAATGGACATAGTAATCATAATGATTTATCATATATAGATGAACGTGCTATTGAACAATTAGTTAATTTACGTTTTAAAGTACGTGCATCAGGTGTAACAAGTAAAATGTATATATTATGTATACGTGAAATGTTAAAAAATGATGCTAATCTTGTTGATATTATTGTTCGATTTATAATACATAATGAATTACAACAAGTTTCATCACCATCAACAATAATAATTACAAGTAAAAATCCAAATAATTTACCATTACTTCATGCATGTTGTCAATCTCAACCTGAACATACATGTCAATCATTAGCTTATACAATACAAAATATTCTTCTTCTAACTAATGTAACAACAACATCGAAAGATTATGATAATTTATTAAAATTAATACGACCATTTCTACGTGATCTTATGCGTTATACAAAAAATGATTTTGATTCAACTAAATTTTGTATGTATTTAATTGATATGCAATATTCAAATAATTTACAACAACAATTTTGGACTATGGTTCAACAACAAGTAAGAAGAATTATTTTAATAGAACATTTAAAAATCGGTCAAGTTGAGTGAGCTCCAACTTTTTCGACAAATTGTAACTGTGTATTTTTTTTCTTGAACATCACCAAGGGGTAAACAACAGAGATCTCATCCATGAAGTCTCGCGGAGTCTTATGAAATCCATTGAAATCTCTTGCAGTCTTTAGAAGTCTATCGAAATCTTTTGAAGTCTTTCGAAAAACTGAAGCCTCTGTAGTTGAAGTCTTGAAGTCCGCTGTTTTCCTCTAGAACATCACCAATCGACTCAGCACAGACCAGAGTATCTATTAGAGTAGTCAAAAGCAGATGATTTCGCGAAAACTTACACGTCCGCAAGGGGTAAACAACAGAGACTTCATGCCTGAAGTCTCACGAAATCTTCTGTAATTTCTATAGATGCATTTATTTCACAGGGAGACGAGGGAGAAACAGCAGAGACTTCATGCATGAAGTCTTTTGAAGTCTTGTAAGTCTCTTGAAGTCTTTTAAAATATGCAAAGTCCGGTGAAGTCTCTAAAAGTCTTCTGAAATCTTTGAAATCTTTCTAAAAAATGAAGTCTCGCTTGCTGAAGCCTCTTGAAGTCTTTCGAAATCTTTAAAATCTTGAAGTCCGCTGTTACCCCCTTACACGTCCGTAAACTCCAGATTTGGAGCACACTTAACTTGATCTTAAAAATTCTCTTCTTTTTTTTCCAATAGGATCCATCGAATAATGAGATAACATCTCATCGTTTATTAAAACGTTTATTAGAATGTGATATGTCAACTCGTGAACGTTTTCTTTATGCAATATGTGATCTTATTCCAATGATAATTCTTGCATCAGCTCAAACATATAATTCAATAAATTCAAATGTAACAACACCACGTTCATCATTATCAACAATGAATAATGATCAATGGTTATTATTTATTCAACGGATATCATTTATACAATGTAGTTCATGTTTATTTTTTCTTTATACATTACCACGTTTATTTGATTCAACATCAACAATAAATCCAATAAATTATGTTACATGTTTATATAGTATATTATTTACAAATCAAGTTAATTCATATTTACGTATTGAAAATTGGCCACCCGAAGAACCTATAGGTTTACGTAATGAATTATTTCGTTTATCATCGGAAATACCATTACTTGGTGAAACATTATATTTACTTATACAAATTGGTTTAACACCACAATTTCGTATAAATCCATCGATAATTATCGATTTAATCGATCTTATTGTTCGACGTACATTAAATGTTGAACAAAAATTTTCTAATGATCACATATCAATATATCTTCATTTACCTGAAAATCAATGTGAAATATTTTTGAAGAAATTTTTTGATTTAACACGTTATCATATACCAATTCAAACACAATTCCCGTCAACATATCAAATACCAAAAAATTTATCAATAACAGATATTTTTTGGAAAACATGTTTAATATGTTTATTATTAGCATCACATGATCCACATATATTTGGTCGTTATATATGGTTATCAATACCACAAATACGTTTATTTATGGAAATGTTATTAACAGGTGATTATACATATCCACCAAAATCAATGATTGAAACAAAAGATTTCTTAGAGAAATTTTATCAACAAGAACGTTTACAATTACGTGAAGAAAAAGATTTAATATTAGAACTTGAAAAATATTTAGCATCACCTAAAATTATTGATGAAACAAATAGTCAATTATTAGGAAAAATTACTGTATTAGATTTAAAACAAATAAAACGACCATCAAGTCATGAAAAAAATGAAAAAAATATTTATAATCTTATACAAGGTTTTAATAATTTATATAAATTATCTTCAATGTTATGTCGTTGTCGTTCACCTGATTTTATTCTGAATATATTAAATCGAAAAGAACAACAAGGTAAAAATATACTCGATAGTCAAACATCATGGTTAACAAGTTTAATTGATTCAAATATTGATTGTTTAAATGTTTTTCCAATAATTTGTTTATGTGATTATTTTCAACATATGATTATGATTTATAAGAATAAAAATCTGAAAAATAATGTTCCATCGAAAAAAACTTTACATGCACTTGAAACGATTCTAATGAGATTTAAATCGATTATTAAAACAGTTAAACAACAAATTGAAGCAAATACACAGGTAAAAACGTCTATTTCATCCTTTTAGATCCATGGGTATATTTTCATTCTACGTAGATCGAAATTTGATTGAGAGCAGTGATTTATCTAGAAGGAGGGCTGGGATGGCGGCACCCTCCCGGGGAACGATTTTACCTTCCCGAAAATTGCAATTTTCGTGCTTATACTATGCTATTCCCTGTAGAAATTAGGTTTTCGCCCTCTCGGAAATCGTTATCGGAAGGAAAAATCTGGCTAAAACACTGATTGAGGGCTATCGTAAAATCAACTATTGGAACATCACTAGGAGTCATTCCAACACAAAAAATCAAGATATTTTAGGGATCCGAATAGACCACTATTCGCCGTTTGAGACATATAACAAGATCGAAACGTTTGCTTTTTGACTGTAACAAATCCCGTCATGTCCAAAACTCACTAGACTTACTACTTGGGAACCGCATTAAGGTTAAAATGTATGGACCGAAGCCTCTCCTATCTCACACTTTCCTTTCTCAATTTATTCCAAAATTAAAATATTTTAAAAAATCGTACTATATTTAGTACGGTGACCCGAAAGAGGGCATATCGATAGATCAAATAAAATCTATAAGATATTACGTTTCATAGAAAACTAAAGTCAACTTGATTGAATATTTGAATTATGTTTTTATCATTATCTACAGGCTTGAATGACTTACAGTGGAAAATAATTTAGTGTAAAAGTTGTAGTCCTGGAATGCTGAATTTATATTTAGACAAGAATTAAATAAAGCTAGCTATTTTCACAATAAAAAATTCAATGAAAATTTTTATTCTTTTAGAAATTCTCTCTGGATTCTCCTGAAATCGAAGATATGACATGTATTCTTAATTATTTTCTCAACTGTCTTAATTCAAATATATCAACAATGCGTTCAAATGCTTGGCTTTGTTTATATATAATATTAAATGATAATAATCAAATGCCTATTATTGAAAATCTTCTATTAAAATCTGATCAATTAACTGATACAAATATTGAATTAATATTAACAATAATATCAAAATTTAAATCATTACATAAAACACAATTATTAATTAAACAAATATTATCTGAAACATGTCATTTTGAAACAAATATTTATTATTTACATTATTCAATTATATTTATTATTGATAATTGTCAAATTGATTCCGATAATGATATTATGTTATTATCAAACTTAGCACGAGCATTAAATCATCGACATTCAATACTTTATTTACTTATACAATATGATAGACAAGAAAAAAATTTTAAATTAATTGAAAAATTCTTCTATTTTATGACAAATATGTTAATAAAACAACTTCAAAATTCATTAAAATATCCAATTGAAATACAATCCAATGATATTTCTGATGAACAAGAATTATTAAATACTCAAACATATTTAATATTACCAAATTTAAATCAAGAACAATTAGATATAATAAAACAATTGGAAATTCATATGAAAATTACTAATAGTTTTCTTTGGTCAATTAATATGAATAAACATTATTTACAAATTGATTCAGTACTTATTGAATTATTATTAATTTTTTTAGCATATTTCGATTTTAATAATCCAAATATAAAACATTTAAATGATCTAGCTAATTTACTCCAACAATTTTTTCTTAATACTAATTCTACACCTTGCTTTACAACAATCAAACAATTTAATCAACCAATACCTATCAAACAAACTCAAGAAGAGGTAAAAAATATTTATTATCAATAGAATTCAAATACTTACTCTTCCATACAGTTGGATTCGCTCGAAATTCAGTATAAAGTTCATAGTATATATAACTGATGAGGGATGTACCGAGACCGAACGTCTCGATCTACGTCTATCTCGGTCAGTCTTAGTCTCTACTTATTTCGGTCAGTCTTAGTCTCTACTTATTTCGGCCAGTCTTAGTCTCTACTTATTTCGGTCAGTCTT